GTTTAGCTTTTTTTTTTTTTTTTTTTTTTTTTTTTTAGGAGAATAAAGGTTATTAAGCTATTAAGCAGGAGACAGAATAACATAATGTAATTGTTTGGGGGGGGGGGGGAGAACAATTTTTTAAATATTGAGTTATTATTCAAGTTAAATTTTAAATAGCACCGATTTCCTTCGTAGAAAGTAAATTGCTGTTGGTTAGAAGAGTCCACTATCAACTCATATTTCTAGAAAGGCCTGGGCTCTGTTGAGCATTTCCTGTCTGCTCCAGCCCCACCTTCCTTTGCAGGTGCTACATAATTTCAGTGCCTACATAACATCCCATCAAATGAATACCCGGTAACTTTAGTGTATTGACAAATAGGTTGTTTCAAGTTGCAAGATGAATCTTATGCATCTTGGTGCAGGCGTGGCTGGGTGAAGAAACAAGTTAAGGCTTTAATACATGTTATTTTGTTCCCAGAAGGTTACATAGATGTAACCTGTCACCCACAGAGTGTAAAAACAACTGTTTCTCCATGCACTCACCAGGAACCAACAGACCCCTTTCTGTTTGCCTGTCAGGAGAGTGTACAAGGTGCCTCCTTACTTTAATGTGTGGTTCCCTAGCTAGGAGGAAGGTCATGCATGCATCCTTTGGCATCTTTATTAGTGTGCTAATTAGTTTTCCTATCTGATGCTTTGTTTTGGTTGTGCGGTTTTTGAAAACGTCTTCATGGTTTGTAAGAGCACTTTGTACATTAAGAAAACTTTGTTAACATGTGCTCCAATTTTCCTCTCAATTATCTGACTATGATATTTTCGATAAGCTAAATATTTTTTTTAATTTTTATTCGTTTATTTTTAAATTAGTTTCAGGTGTACAACACAGTGCACTAGCTATACTTTTTACCCCTCAAAGTGACAGCCCTCCTCCCCCAGATAAGCTTAATTTTTAAAATGTGACGTGATTGGTCTTGTCTCATGTCTCTCAGGAACAACAGGCTCATTGTGCTTGGCCCCGCCCACTTGGCTCTCCAACCGCTGCCCGCCTGCCAGTGCCGGCCCCAGGGCCCCGCCCACAGTCTGCAGGGCGGAGGCGACCCGCCCGGGGTCACGTGTCCGGGGCACCTGAGGGCCGGGACCAATCCGGGGCAGGGGCGGGGCTCCGCGCTCTGCCCCAGCTGCCGTGCCTCCCCGCGCTCCTGTTGCCACTCGGGGCCTCCCGCAGCCTCCGGCGCAATGGACCCGGCTCTGGCGGCGCAGAGGGGCGAAGCGGTGGCCCAGAAGATGCTCCAGTACCGGCGCGACGAGTCGGGCTGGAAGATTTGCCGGGAAGGCGTGAGTCGCTGGCTGGGCGGGAAGGGGTTCCCAAAGCCCACGGGCCCCCCTCTTCCTGTGCTGTGTGCTCTCTAAACCCCTGACACCAGATTGAGGAGATGGCAGTGGGGGCTGTTCCCTTAAAAAACACTGAGACATTGTGCCTACGACCCGGAGATGAGCACCCCGTCCCCTTCCTTGACGGACTTGCCCACTGTCACCTGGCTGGTAAATGCTGGTGGGGTTCTCACAGGTCTTCAGGGCAAGAGCCCCCTCTGCCACCCCAGGAAGGTGGCGTGGGGGTAGTTTCCTTTCTTGACATTTCTGATTTTTAACAAAGGGACCTAAATTGCCCAAGGAAATAAAACGGCTTTTAAGGTGGTCTGAAAAGCACCCAGAGCTCTTGGGGTCAGCCAGTTAACATGCTGTCTTTCTCCATCCCGTGGCCGCCGGGCCTCCTGGGAGAACTGCCGCTCGTGAGGCTCCGCGTTTTCTTCCACAGGACGGGGGACTGGGCCAGGTCGTCCCCCAGAGCCCTCTTGCTCTAAAACGCTGCCATTCTCCGTCTTTTGACAGAACGGCGTGTCTGTTTCCTGGAGGCCGTCTGTGGAGTTTCCAGGGAACCTGTAAGTGCCTTGCTCACAGCCTGCCAGGTGCCACACCCCACCCCACCCCACCCCACCCCACCCCAGCGTCCCTGAGGTTCCCGTCAGCCTGAGCTCCCTGGAATCAACCTCCGGAAAACCTCCTGTTTTTCACTAAGTCATTCGCAGCCTACTGTTTTCTTAGGAAAGCATGCCATTCATTTCTGCAGGCCCGAGGAGAGGGGGCAGGCGAACCGCAGCCCTTCTCTGTAAGGCGGTCCTGCCGAGCGACGACAGATGTGGCATCTAGTCCCTAGCTGTAATCTCAGGATCAGCACGTTGGATTGATGACGTCTTGGGGTCAAATGCCTCTTTGTGCCGCAGGTACCGAGGGGAAGGCATCGTGAATGGGGCCCCTGAGCACGTGTGGGACTTCGTCAAGCCGCTTCCGGGGAGCCTTCGAGAGAAGTGGGACGAGAATGTGGCCACTTTTGAGGTGCTCCAGAGCTTCACTGATGTAAGTGTTTCGAGGTGCATCGCCCCAGGTGATGACCTGCCCCTGTCCCCTGTGGAGGGGGCCCAGACACCTTTTGGCAAAGGGAGCACTCTGCAGACCCCTGGTGCCCAGCAAGCACAGGCAGGGAGCTGGCTCCGAGAGGGAGACACGCCCCAGACAGAGCTGAGAGGTGCAGGGCGAGCGTGAGCCCCGAGGGTGTGGACGCAGTGCCTGGATTTGACCCGTCCGCCCCAGCTTGAAATACTGTCCCTTGATGGGGCCATGATGACAGTTCTCTGAGAGAGTCCGGGCCAAAGAGCCAGGACTGTCTGCCAGCCTGGGCTGTGCCACGTGGCAGTGTCTCCATGGGTGAGCTGTGTGTCTTCAGGCCGGCGCCCCCCGGTAGAACATTCTGCCTCATGGAAATGTCCTGTATCGCGGTCCAGTCCAGTAGCCAGTGGCCGCATGTGACCAGAGAGCGCCTGAAAGGTGCCTGCTCTGAGGACAGGAATTGTTAACTTCGTTTGCTTTCTGTTACTTGTGGCATCCATTTCAGGAGTGACATGGACGCATAGCCACTGCCTGTAGACAGGCCTGTTCTGGGCTCCTCTGTGGGTTAGGAACCCACCTCATGTTGATTGAAGAACTTAAGCAACACAAAGGTCGGAGCCAAAACTACTAAGAGAGTTGTCTTGGGCAAATGTGTGCCAACCTGTCCTACGTGAATGGCGGCTCATGTCGATGTTGTGGAGCCGGCCCCTCTTGGGTGTGAAGCCCAAGCAAACTTTGCCAGCCAGTCAGTGGGACCAGGCGCTTTTAGCCTTGACCACAAATTCACATCTCAGGTCACCCCAGTTCGTTGTCATGTGAGTGCTTCCCGAAGGGTGGGGCTCATACCTGGGGCTCAGAAGATGAGATCAGGCCCTAACCAGTGCCAGCTGAAGGGGAGTCACAGGGAGGCCACCCCACGTCAGCTCTGCCGACCTCTCGGGTCACGTGAAGGGGACAGTGCCGGGTAGGTGCTGGTGTGCCTGACAGCTGTGTCACTCCTGGTCATCTCCATAACAGAGCAGACGGCTGTTCAGGCTCAGAGCCGGAATCTAACAATTTCTCGTCTATGTGTACGGTTTGCAATTGCCTGTGATTTATGCCAAGTGATGCTTTTTTTCCATTTGTAAAGGTTAAATAGCTCCCCTTTAAAATAAATTTATCTAAGTTTTACCAAGTGAGCACCCTTAGGTGAAAATATTAGGTAACAGGCTAGGCGCTACCAGAGGTGGCAAAAAATTCTACAGAGTGTACAGATAATTATACACAAATGATTGACGTCAGGACACATGGGTTAATGCCCTCTACAACATAATACACACATAATAACAGAAGGACCGTGTGTGGAATTTCCCTAAAGGTAAAAGGGTCTGCTTGTGGGGTTTTGTTTTTGTTTTTTTGGCATGTTTAGACTTTGTCTTGATAGAGTGAGAGTAAGATATGAGAGACTTGAAGGCCTAGGAGATCGGAGTGAGGACACCTGACCTGCCACAGTCATGACTAAAATGACCAACACTGTCATCCACGGAGTCCCTGTGCACTGCACGGGTCGACCTCACAGCACCTCCGCTGGACCCTGGGGGCGGGGATGGGCGCCCTGGCAGCGCCCCGGCCTTCACGCCAGCTCCTGTCCACTTTAAAAACACAGGGGCAGATCTTCCTTAGTCAGAAATGGTATTTCGTTTTCTGCCTGGAACTCAAACTTCCATGCTTTGTGGCCCACTGTACTAAACTTCATCCTAGTATGTCTGTTCTTGAAAATCAGCGTCCTGCACCATAGATACGCATGTTAATGGAAACTAAATTTAAAAAAGTCCTGTTTCCTGTAACTGGGAGGCTCAAAGCGTTAAACATCACCTGGGTGGAGATGTGGCTGTGCCCACATAGGAATGTTGGTGCCTCGGCAGGCGCTGTGCGTCACCAGAACAGCCACCCCGTCGGCCGCCATGAAGCTCATCTCCCCCAGAGACTTCGTGGACTTGGCGCTGGTCAGGAAGTACGAGGACGGGACCCTCAGCTCCAACGGTGAGTGGGGCCGCCCTGCTCCCCGCAGGCTCCCGGGGGGGACAGCGCAGCCCGGCCAGGTCGGGGGACGCCTGTCTGGCTTCACAGAACCTCGGGGCGCAGCGATGGCCCGAGCTCCCAGGGCACCTTCCTAAGAGGGCTGTGGGGCCGTCCGCGCCCTTCCCCGTGAGCAGCAGAGTTGCTGTCACTGCACACGTGTGGCCTCCCGGAAGCCACAGCCTCTCCTGCCCTGTGACTCGTCCCTGTGGGTGGGGATTTGAGAGGGTCACTCGGCCCTCCTTTCTCAAGCCTTAACCTCCGATGTGTTCTCTGGCGTTCCGGCCGGCGTGCGTGGGGAAGGGAAGCTGTGCATGCGCACACGGGTGCCATGTGGGTGCGTGTGTGTGTGAAGGAAGTGGGGCAGGGGAGCAGGGCCAAGGGGCAGGTCCCCTAGCTGCCCGCCCTGTGGGTGCCGGGAAGGCGCGTCACCATCTGAAGCTGCTGCTCAGGACTGTTTGCTCTGTCTTCCAGCTGCCCACGTGGACCACGCGCTGTGCCCCCCGAGGCCAGGGTACGTCCGAGGGTTTAACCACCCTTGTGGCTGCTTCTGTGAACCTGTGCCAGGGTAAGGACCGTCGCCCGGACTGCATGGCATGCTCAGAGTGACCTGTGGCTCCAGGGTGGACGGTATTCAGTGGGCACAGCAATTAGATGCCTGACAGCTCTGTAACGACGTCACAGAGGACTGTCCCGTGCTCTCCAGTGACGTAATACGCAGGAGCCCCAGACCCACGGGAAAGAATGTGGGAGACGCTGCTGTCATTGCTGTGGACATGGGGGCTCCCTCCAGCCCCAGTTGAGCTGGGCAGGAGCTGTGGCCCCACTTAGCAGATGAGAGGACGGCTCGGGCAGCTCTGGGGGCCTGAGCCCCGTCCAGTGGCCTGGAGCGGCGGGAGGCCCGAGGGCCCCACCCCAGGCCCCGCAGTGCTTGCTTCACTCACCGGCAGTGGGCGGGAGGGGCCCCTGGACTGAGCTCGGGGACAGCTCTGTCCCCATGTGGTCACAGCTCACAGGCAGGTTACCAGGAGCTTTCTGTGAGCTCACCTGAAAGTCAGTAGTTTGTGTAGGAAGCAGCCAGGTTGGCAGTGAAAGAGCCAGTACCAGTTCCCGGCGGCGGGATGAGCAGGTCCAGAGTCCCTCAGGTGTGGGGGCCGGGCTGTTCTCTATGCAGCACAGGCGGCAGCGCTGGTGTCCAGGACGTAATGCACTTGGTCCCGTGTGCAGTGCAGGATCCTGAGAGCAGACATCGGCTCCGTGCCCACCTTCTGTGCACAGGCCGGGCCGCTGCACTGCCCGTCTGAGGCAGCTGTCACCGTGGCCACTCAGTGACATGTCAGCCTCTTCTACTCGGTCTGTCCGGTGGGTACCGCCCACCAAGCCCAGGGCACAGCACAGTCACCGAGCGAAATTTCTCCCTCCCCCATTCACATTTCTGGGCCAAAGGACACTGCTGAGAGAGAGGAGGGCCCAGACGAGGCGCAGTGGCGGCTGGTGAGCTGGGCTTTGGGGCTGGAGGTAGTCTGCCCCCCTGGGGTGACGCGCCCTGCAGAGATAACAGGGCCCCTGTCAGAGCAGCACGGGCTGCCCTGTGTGTGCATCTGCTGGCCTTGTCACTCGCGGGGCACAGAGGGTTTTAAAGGGTCTCCACGCCCAAGCCCCTGAGCCACGTACGTCAGGACACATGTGAGGGGCCTGTGCGATGCCACCTGGGGTTCCGGCTGACACGCTGATGGTGGTGACAGCCCATTCAAGTACCGTGCCACACAAGCTCCACACAGCCCGTGCCTTTGTTGTCCTGGGAGGTGGTTAGTCCCGTTCTGCCCCCTCCCAGGCCTCTCACTGAATCCACGTCTGCCTGGTGGGCGTGATTGCCGTCATGTTGGCCACCCAGGGAGGTGAACAGAGTAGCTAAGCTGGTGACAGGGCACTGCCTCTCACTCTCCAGCCCAGGTCCCAGCCGTGTGCCGAGTTCTACGTCCCTTGGGACTCCTGGTGCCCTGACCAGAGTCCCTTCAAATAAGCCCAAGATACGCGTCACTCCTGCAACTCGGCAGTTCTCACATTTCCTTGTTGAACAGACTGTCTTTACCCCGGTGTTATGTTCTTGCCTCCTTTGTCGTAGATTAAGTGACCGTAGAGGCGTGGGTTTGTTCTGGGCTCTCTGTTCTGCTCCATTGATCTATGTGTCTGTTTTTATGCCAGTACCGTGCTGTTTTGATGACTAGCCCTGTAGGATAGTTTGATATCATGGAGTGTGATCCCTCCAGCTTTGTTCTTCTCTCTCAGGATTGCTGGGGCTATTTGCAGTCATTTGTGGTCCCATATAAATCTCAGGATAATTCTTTTTTTTAAGATTTTTTTATTGGGGAATTGGGAGAAGGGGAACAGACAAGTTGCTGTCGTTTTGTTCTTCAGTCTAGTTGTGGAGGACGTTGCTTCACTGGCCCAAGTTGGCACCATCATTGCGCTCTTCCCAGGCAAGGCAGATCAGTTGCCGCTTCTGGACGGCCGCTCATGGCGGCTGCTGGCTACACACGGTAGCCCATGGGAATCCACTGCAGCAGGGGTTGCAGTCTACGCCGATCGTCGGCGACTCACGGCAGCCCAGCTCCAGGTCGAGCTGTCGTTCAGCAACCTAGCTGTAGAGGGCAGTGTCACTGGCCCTCATATGTGGGATCCGAACCAGGGCCCTCTGGCGTCCCAAGCCAGCTCTTAACCAACACGCCACTCTGCCGGCCCATCAGGATAATTTGAGTTCTGTGAGGAATGCCATTGGTACTGGTAGGGACTGCATTGAATCTGTGGATTGCTTGCTTTGGGTAGTGTTAACATGGACATTTTAACCATGTTACTTCTTCAAATCCACCAGCACGGTGTAAGCTGCCATTTATTTGTATCTCCTGTTTCTTTCGTCAGTGGTTTATAGTTTCCCAAGCACAGGTCTATCACCTGTGGCTTCAATTTACTCCTAGAGATTTCCTTGTGAAGCAACTGTAAATGGGATCGTTTTCTTAATGTCTCTTTCTGTTAGTTCGTGTATTGCTGTGTAAAAAACATACTCTGAAATTATCATTCATGGCTTCAGAGGGCTTTTGTTCACGTGGGTTATATCCATCAATATTTATTGTGTTTGAAAATAAAACTGGGAAACTTATAAGATATTATTTAAATAACAAACTTATTACATATAAACATATTGTTTTGAAAAACTTTTCCAAACAAAAACAGTAATGCAGAGTGGCATAGTTTTTCATTTTTGCAATCTCTTTAAGTGGAGGCTGCGGGGAGCTGCTGTCTGCTCTGCCTTCGGTGTGTTGGAACATAGCCCACACCGTGTCCAAGTATGACAGTGGAGACGGCAGGTCGCGTCTCAGTGCTGCTATGAAAATTGTTTTGACTTTGCAGACCCCTTGAGGGGGTGTCAGGAACCCCAGGAATGGCCAGACTGCATGGAGAACCGCTGCCCTTATCCCCCTGGACTGGGCACACAGTGTGACTTCCACCTTCCTGGGTGGGAGTGGGGGCTGCTCCCTACCTGCCTCCAGTGTGGCTGTGGAAACCTGACATGTGACAAGAGCACGTGTATGCATCCTGAGGGAACCCCGGCAGGAAAATCGCTGGCCAGGCTGGCATTTGACCCCGGTCGTAACCTAGCTCTGCTGTCACTTCACAGGGAGCCCAACCAGACCAAGGTGGTCACCTTCTTCCAGACGGACCTGAGCGGCTACCTGCCGCAGGGCGTGGTGGACACCTTCTTCCCCCGCAGCATGGCCGGGTTCTACACCAACCTACGGAAGGCGGTGAGGTGAGGTGAGCTGTAGGCGTGTGTGTGCTCCTGCGGTCGCTGCTGCCTTTTGTGCGCACCTGTGCACACTGGGGGTGTCACCTGTACACTCTCGGCCTACTTCTAGCATTGAGCCTAGGAACCAGCAGCGGTGCCAGTGTTTTGTGTGTCAGAATGTATTCTCCAGCTCTGCCATCCCGCTGAGGGGGCCCGCAGGCCTGCCTGACTCTCGGGGACCCTGGCACCCACCCCCCGTGTCGCCAGGAATCCCAGGCCACAGGGAGAGACTTTAGGAGTGGTCAGGCCAGCTGACGCCCCGGGGGCAGGACTGAGCTGTCCCCTCCAAGCCCCGCCCACGTCATAGGTCCCTGAGAAAGTCAAACGGGGCTGTTTGGGGTGGGCCTTCACACAGAAAATCTGCAAAGCAAGACATGGATTTCATATCAAATTGTGACGTGTCCACTTTATTAACAGCACCACATATTAGCTCTCTGTACATAGTTGCAGTTTATCAACCACCCCGTGTGACATTCCCCTCACCCTGGGTGCAGCCCCCTTGCTCTCCCCGACCTGGGTGGGGGTTACCAGTGACCCTGAGAATTGGCATGCTGTGGCTAGACCTCAGCGTTGGCGCTCTGCCTAAGGGTTTCCGGCAGTCGGAGTCCCCGCGCAGAGCGGGCTTTTCCTCCTGATGAGAACCGTGACTGGCCCATCAGGCAACGCCTTGATGACATTCCAGGCCTCGAAGCGTGTGAGGCCCTGCACGGTGGTGCCGGCCAAATGTAAGATTTCATCCCCAGGCTGGACCGTCTCACTCTGCTCCGAGGCTGCCCCTGGGGTGAGGGAGAAGACGACAGAGTTCCACAGGTGACAGGGGAGCACGGAGAGCAACCTTCTACCCACCACGGGGAGAAAACAGCCCGCCGTGCAGCCTACCTTTGAAAATGCGGTTGATGGTGAGAGGCTTGTCCCCGTGCAAGGAGCCCTTCCCTCCTTCCAGACTGAAGCCCAGCCCAGCAGAGGTCTTCTCCAGTGTCACCGTGTGGACTGTGGCCTCTGCCACTGAGAGAAAAACAGGGCTTTTGTTAGGGATGCTCTCTTGGCGGCAGGCGCTGCCCACTGAACCTGGGATGTGTGAGCGCAGACACGCAGCACGCAAGGCAGGCCATGCGTCCTCGGGGCCACAGAGGACGGCTCTGCCCCGCTAGGAGGACTCACTGGACTCCACGGAGACGTCACTGGCCACAGAGGATGTGGCTGCTGAGTCTGGGGAGCTCCCGTTGGGCATGGCCTCCAGCGGCGGCGTCCTCGCAACGATCACAGCTTGCCGGGGGTCCCGAGCTTGGCGCAGGATGGCCAGCGCGTCGTTGTGGGTGGCCCCTTTGAGGGACTTGCCGTTGATGGAAAGGACCTCCATGCCCTTCTGAATAGTCCCCTCCTGGGAGGCCAGCCCACTGGGGAACACTCTGTGGACCTGAGGAAACAGCGCAGCCGTGTCAGACTGAGCGGATCGTCCAGCCTACAGGCCTCTTAGGCCAAAGCAAATGACACTAATCGTGTCCTCCACTTGGGCAGAGACCACTACCAGCAGTGGACAGAGTTGCTTTGGGGGTACAGAGACCTTTGTTCACTGAAGGGTCATGATGAGGGCTGACTGGGGGGGGGGTCACGAAAGTGACGGTTACTGTGTTTCTTGAAAAGGAGGGATCCTGGCAGCTCCCCAGGCGGATGCTGCCCCAACGGCCCGCCCAATGTGGCCTGGGGTCGTGCAGTCCTCGGACCCCTGACAAGTGGCCCCCATCGCTGGGCCACTCACCGTGATCACCTTGTTCTCCAGGTCCGCTCCACCCGCCAGGCTGAAGCCAAGGCCAGCACCCTCCTCCTTGTGCAAGATGGTGACATGGATGGTGTCTAGTTGCTACGGAAGGAAATACACACAGAAAAACATGTTTTCCTACAATAGCGCCAGCAACCTAACAAGAGTTTTAACATCAAGCTGATTCGGACTCAAACCCCAGCTTGTCTCGCTCCCAGGGACGTCACCTGTTCAAACCTGTGTCATCGTTAAGAGGACTGTACTTCCCGGAGAAGGAAAAGCGGCATGTGTGGCGCCACAGGTGTAGCCCCCCTCTCCGTCCCCCAGCCTCCCGGGAAGCGTGGGGGATAACGTAGCTCTGCCGTTTCCGTGCAGGGCGGAGGCAGAGCTGTGAGCGGGACCAGCCACTCCTCGCCCAGACCACACACACCCAGAGCCCCGGGCACACGGCACACCCCGGCCCAATGGTGGCACGCCCAGAGCCAGGCAGCCGCTCTGCACTGCCCGAGTCACAGGCATCTGGGGTGTCCAGCTCATGCAGCCAGGAGGCCACACAGTAAGCAGGACACGCGGAGGGGAAGTGTGAGCTGGAGCGCCTCTGCTCAGGGGCCAACTGCCACGAGGCGCAAGGCCGTTCCCTTAGAAAAGGAAGCCGGAGATCCAGTTTTGATTCCGCTGCCATAGCCTTTACAAAGCACCATGCTGACCAAATGAAACGCCCCAGCTGGAGGCAACCTCACGACACAGGATTCACCGGCTGCCCTACAGCCAGCTGGGATTTGGGCTCCCCGGGTCCCGGACGGGATGCGGGGTGAATGGCCCTCACTGGCCCTCCTCTACCCCAGCACTGACTCACACCTGCCAACATTTACCCAAGTGGCTGCTGACTCGCCCCGAGAGGCCCCTGTCAGGCTGGAAGCAAACGCTGCCCAGTCACACCCACTCTGCCTCTGTTACTTCACTTGCAGGAAGCCCTGGAAACAAAGGAGTCACGGGCTCGAGCGTCGTGTCCCAGGGAATACAGCTCTGATGCCTAACCGCCTCTCATCCCAGTGCAGATGGTCCCAGAGCCCATGCTCCTCTGAGCGCAGCCACCTCCTCACCACGCACCACTGGGCCTGTAGGAAGTGAGACTTGCAGAATGAAGTGTGCGTCCTGGGATCTGTCACCACTCAGGTGCAGGGGAAATCCAGGGCGAGAGCTGAGACCTACGCTGCTTCCTTACAAAGCACCGTGTCCCTGGAGACGCATGCAGGCCAGACGCCCACAGGATAGTAAACAGCCCAGACGGTAGAGAGAGAACCTAGGCTGTGAGGCCTCCAGCCTCACCTTTCTCTTTGATCAAATCCAAAAAAACAATAGTAAGCCAGTGGCTGAAAGTGCTTCATGAGCAAGAGCTTCCTTTCCACACGAGGTCTCACACAAGGTGACACAGTCAGGCCCACCCTGGGCTGGCGTCCACCCTGCCAGCTGCTTTCCCTCTGGCCTGGGGAGGCGGCCACACTGCGTAGCCCAGCTGTTGTCCCGGGAAGCTCCCATCACAGACACCCACCTTCAGTGTTGGTTCGTCCAGAACCTTCACTTCCTCGATGAGCTTCTCTAACTCCTCCGAGCTCAGCAGGGAGATGACCGACTGGCCGGACGGGGGCGCACCGTCATCGGCCTCCGTGGGCTCACCGAGACCCTCCGTGTATTCTCTCAGCTCCGAAAGGCTGTCACGGGGAGAAGCAGTACACAGCACGAGCCGTGACGTTAGTGAGAGTGACAGCTACTGCACAGTTTCTGCAGCGTGGATCCCGACACCCTCCCGGCAGCAACAAGGAACTCGGGCTCGCAGAGGGAGGGCACAGGACCTGTCGGGTCACGTGGCAAGAAGGGTCGAGATCAGGATTTGAAACCACAGACCACATGTCTGGCTGCAGAGTCCTAACAGCTCACCCACAGTACAGCTGGGGCTCTGGACAGATGGGCACCATGCCACAGGCAGGTCACAGCCCCTACACCTGGCAGGTCAGCAGCCGATGCCTTCACGCTGCCCCCGGCCTCCTCCCAGGAGTCGGCCGGCATCTGGCCGCCCTACGTGAGTGCCTGCAACTCGAAAGGGCGCCGCGCCAGCAGCTGGCCGGCCTTTGTGTTGAGCCATTGGGGTGTCTGCAGCTGTTTTACAACTTCCGTGCCTGCTGTGCAGGAGACTGGTTTCAGTGCGAGGGGCTTGCCCGTGGATGGACAGACTGTACTGGGAAGGGGACCCACAGCCCCAGATTCGGAGGGGAGCCTCGCAGCCCCAACAGGACAGCTGCCCAGCCCCAAGGAAATGTGAGGGGCACCTCTCGGGGTTGGGGTGCGTCTCCTAGGTGTGCCTGCCGGCACCTTCCTGCTCCCTCTCAGGCTGTCTGAGAGGCTGGGACCTGACGGGCCATGGGCCTCAGACATTTCTCAGCAGAACCACCACCACCAAGGAAACTGAGACAGTGGAGCAGCTGCCATTACAGAGGGAAGAGCAGAGGCCAGGACGCACCGCGAGGAGCCCTGTCGCCACCTCCAGAACAGAAGGGGCCTGCTTGTGGTCGGCAGCCGGGACATGCTACCTGCCAGCCCGGGGGGCCAGGCCGCGTGCACCGGGAGAGGCCGCGAGAGTTCCCAAGGGGTCCCCCTGGCTCAGCCTGCTCTTCTGGGGCGGCAGGGGGTGGGACACAGCAGCCTTGCATCAGGTTCCACATCCCCAACGGGCCCCCCCCCCCAGACCAGGGGCTGCGGAAGTGTGCCCTTAGCCAGGAAGGCAGAGCTGTCACATGCTCATGAGAGAGAGTAGGCGGAGTACCCTCTGTACCCCTGAGAGCCTCCCAAAGCTACGGAGGAGGAGAGGAGACGTGAGTGAAGAGGGAGAGGTGAGCAGAGACACGCACTTGACCGAGAACCCCCGGTCGGAGGCCGCCGCCCCAGCACAGCTGTGTGCAGCTGGGGCTTCGCTGGACACTGGAGACGCTCCTTCCTTGGGGCTGCAGGGGGCCTGGCCACAGGACAGGGAGGAGGGAAGGCACAGCAGCGACTTCATGACGGCCGAGGACACCCGGCTGCTGATGGAGTAGAGTTTGCAGGTCTTTTCATCCAGTGGCTGCACCTCGCGAGACAGGGTCCTGGTCAGCGGGAAGCTCCGTGCCCGCTGGCTGGGTGCCTTGACCACTGCGCCCGGGGACGGTGCAGTCTGCGCGGACAGCAGGCTCAGGAGAGGGTCCGGGCTGAGGGCTTTGGGGCTGGGCGTCCGCCCTGGGGGAGGGGTCGCCGACACACCCGGGTCGCTGGGCTCCATGGCCGTGTGGGAACCAGGGGCCGGCTGCTCAGCAGTGCGGGGAGCCCCTCGCCCCGAGACGCCGGGAACGTGTCCGCCCTCTTGCTTCCCAGGAGGCTTTGCTGCCTCCCCCGAGGAGCTGGGGGGCTGCGGGCTCGCTCTCTGGGCTCCTCTGTCGGGCGGCTGAGAGGAGCCGAAGGTCTCAAAAGAGCTGATTCTCTGTCTGATGGAGGTGGAGGTGCGCGGGGGCAGCCCCAGGCGCTCCCTGGGGGCGGGAGTGGGCTGCGGGCAGGAGGCTGCTGGCAGCGGCCTGGGGTCTGGGCCGCGATGCCTCAAACCTTTCAAGCTTTGGCGAAACCAGGCTGGCTTGGGGGCCACGGGAGGCCCCTTCTTCACAATGCTGCTGTCTGCTGACGTGTATGTTTTGGGATCGTCACCGGCGGCGTCCAGCTTTGAGGGGTTCCCATCGGGGTGGCCCTGCGTCCCTTCCTCTTCCCCAAGGCTGACGGGGGCCTGGAGTGGCACGTGTCCGTGGCTGTCACTCATGATGGGGCTGAACAGGCTTTTGATGCAGTCAGAGATTCTCACCCAGGGGTCTTCGGCTGTGCTGCCAAGGCCACAGTCCACCCGAGCCTGCCTCTTCAGCACGGGGTGCTTACCGGGGGACGCCTGAGTCACTGGGGAGGAGAGAGAAGGCCACAGGTTTGCCTGACGTCTGACGGCCTTCCTTCCCAAGTTCTCTCAAAGCTGAAGAATCCTAGAGGCGGGGGGGGTGACAGTGGCCGCCCAGGAGCCGGTACCTGGGGGAAAACTGGGGAGGCGGCCACACAGCGTGCCAGCATTTTGTGGTCTTGGGGTGGCACCTTCTAATTGAGGAACCATCTGTATGCCTTGGCACACAGCGGGGTGAGCCCGCCTGTCCGGTCATGGGCACGTCGCTCTGTCCCTCCCCGGCCCCCCGTCAGTGCAGGTCAAGCTCCTGTCCATTTCCCCTCGTGGCGCTGAGGCCACAGCTGACGTGTGGGCCTGACCAGATGCACCTTTCTCACCCTGCAGGTGGTGACAGGCGCCGTCGTGCTGTGCCGAGCGCCCTGGACACAGCTGCCTCGTGCGGAGGTGGGGCTGCCCCCGACCTCTTCCCGGGGGCTGTTCTCCTGGTGACTGTGGCCGGCCGGCGTTCCTCCCCGGCACCCCCACCGCCCTGCTGCCGCCAAGCCGCAGGGGCCCTGACTTGTCAGCCCCAGTTCCGCCATCGCGTGATGCGGATGGACCTCGCTGATCCTCATGTCATCCCTTCTCACTCGCCTTATTCGGAGGGTCCTTCCTTCAGGAAGGGGACAGTCCTACCTGAGCTGCTGCCTCTCCTCCCCGGCTCGGCCTCTGAGGGGGACGTCTGCAGGCCGACGGCAGGTCCTGGGTGGCAGGCAGCTGCATGGGACACTCTCCCTGCTGTGACTTCCTGCGGTGGCAGCGGTGGCAGCAGCTCTCTGGCTTCCTGTGGTGTAAACAGGAAGCGAGGCTGTGTCAGAACGGTAGCTGTCAGCTGTGAGAGGCGAGGGCGCCCTTGGCCACCCCTGTGAGGGTCCTTCCTGCGCCCCCCTCGCCACACCTCCTGCTCCCGTGGATGGACCAAGCGTAAGTTCTTTGGTGATACTGTTTTTTAACAATAATCAAAGGTGTTTCTTTTTTTTTTAATCAGGAAAAAATGCTATATTTTAACACAAGATCACCATTTGTGACAATGCATGCACCAAATCAGTCTTAAATAAAATCACAGTGAGAGAAGAGCCGACAGGTGATGCCTTGCAGGAGCCTGCAGGGATTTTCCCGGGAAGGCCGCACACACCTCGCTGTACGGTGTTCTAAGCAGAGGGTCGCAGAAAGAACACACCATGCGCGGTGTCCTCGCTAGAAACACACACGGTTGCGATATTTGAGGAGGGCAGCGGGTGGTTCCGGGTGCCTCGTGGTCTGACTCAGCCAAGCTCTCTATTCTTTAAATTCTAAATCTGTCTTTAGTTTTTTGCCTCACAAAGCCTTTTTCTGTAAAAAACACTGTTCTTAAATTGGAACACATATGTAGCCCTTTTCTTTCCATCCCAACCCCACAAGTGACACCCCGACCTAAACTTTGCACACGCGATATTGGCGCTTTCTGTGGTTGCTTTGTAGGGTTTTCTGAAGATGGTGGCACAGGCCGTGTTAGCGAGGGACACACGGCACCGCCCCGTTCTTTGAGTTTCAGGCTACTGCTAGGGGCACTCTAGGGACGAATGATGTTGCTGTGGAAATTGTTTGGGTTTCGGGCAGAGCCAAGTGAGGGGGATCCAATCCCAGTCTGGGCCTTAGCTGTCGTGTGGGTCAGGGTTTGTGGAGTTACTGTCGTGGTTTATTTTTGTTTTAGCTACAGCAGTGTAGGGCCTAGGGTAAAATGGAACTTCATTACTGAAAATCTTTTTGAACGTGCTTTTACGTTGTGTTTTATTAATTTGGGTTTATCTCATAACTGCGGTGGTTGGCACATCGACCCACACTTCTTGGTTAGTAGAACTTAGCCACACTGTGGCTCCTCGCTGAATTCCCAGCCCTACTGCGTCCCCGGTTCGGCAGGCGTCAGGAGCTCTGCTCCGTGTGTCTGACCCTGCGCCTGGCAGTCGCTGCAGGCTGGGGGCATGTGGAATCTCACTAAAAACTCAGAGGGTGGGGCCAACCCTGCGTGTTCACGGAGTGAGTGAGCTCATCGAGGTCTCGCAAGTGCCTCGCTTTCACTGTTAGGCTACAGGAACGGGCGAAGTCTAGGTTCTATTGAGATGACAGTGGGCACCAAGGAATATTATATGATTTGGGGAGATAGAGATTTGGGGGGATTTGTGGGCATCAGTGAACATAGTGGTTTCCAGACAATAAAGAAGCAACAGATGTTGAGGGCGTAGCTGTCTGGAAAGCCACTTTAGTAGCATCCTGGTATCAAGGGGGATTTTTTTATGTTGAATGGTTCTGTGATTAGCAGGTTGAGCAGAATTTTGTTAGTGAACTTGCTTGAGTGTGTGTGTGTGTACACACACACAACGAGCAGGAGCAAGGCTTTATGTATCTTAGTGCATTTCATGTTTGTTTGGCTTGCCAAGATGTTAATAATTCTGCAGGGACTAAGGTTTTATGGGGGTGGGTGGGCAGGAAGGGGGTTGCTAAGCTAGTCACCCACCAGCGGGCTGACGCACGCACACCGTACACGGAAACCTTCACTCTGTCCTGTAACCGTGGACTGAACTGTACTTGTGGTTATGGGATGCTGGTGACCAGCGCCCTAATGTCCCCTGAGGGCGCAGCTATGTCCCGAGTCATCAGTTACTGTATTCCTGCTGGTGACGCTGGTCTCCTGTGTGGAGTGGCACAGGCTGAGAGAGGCATGTGCAGATGTGGGGTGTGTGGGTGCAATCTTCAGGTCTACTCGGCAGCCAGGTGGAAACAGGGTAACCTCAGTCATGTTAGAGTCAGGAACATTCCACTCCACTCCTCCCAAGCCCTGTGTCCCCACAGCCTATCTTGGGGCAGGTGGCGTTTTGTGCCGCTGTACGTTCAACCCTAACCCTGACACCTGACTTGCCTCCTACTGCACGGGACTCGCGTCCTCTAAGTAAACACTGACGCCGGCTCTGCCCGACACAGTAAGGCCCAGAGCACCTGACTGACCCCCTACTGCCACGGTTTTCAGATATGTCACCACAGCCAATCTCAAAGGGCTGCCATTCCTCAGTTATGGGCAAGCTTCAGGGGTAATACGTTTGGGACGGAACTTCACTGCCTCCACAGGGCACCGTGAACTTGGCCGGCGTGGGTGTGGCTGTGACCCACCACAAGCTGCTCTGGCTGCAGGCACTCTTCACTCGTGAGACGTGCCCACCGCCCTGCGCTGCCCTCCTGCAGTGAGCGAGGGCCCCTCCCCGGGGTCCTGTGATGAACTGCTCCCGTCTGCAGGTTAATCCCTGCACAATGTGGGTACTAATGGGACTTGGTGGACCTCAACGTCACTGGTAGCGACACACGCTGCTCTGCTCGCCCCCTTCTGCCACAGAAGCCATGGCTCGGCTAATGGTGACTCTCCGTGTTGGCTGTGAAGTGCCGTTGGGGGCTGCGGGGCCTGAGGCAGCTATAGGCAGGTAGGGGTGTCAGGGGACACGAAGGACAGCAGGCGTGGGGCTCATCAGAGAGAAAATCCCTAGGGTAGAATTTCACCAGGCAGGCAGCTAAAACACCTGTCCTCGGACACAGTGACACTGAACTAAGATACTGAACGTACAACTAAATGGACGCATATGCCGTGCTCGCGGATAGGAAGAACGAACGTGCTTAAAATATGCACACTAGCCACGACCACCTAGAGATTCCATGCCATCCTTGTATGGAAATACCGATGACCACTGTCCAAGAACTACAACAAACAGTCCTAAGGTATGTGTGGGGCCCCAAAAAGTCACGGCAATCCTGAGAGAGAGGAACATAGTGGGTGTCATGCTCCCTCACCTCAAAGTACACGACAGGCCCAGAGTCATCCAAACAGGCCGGTCCTAGCACAAAACCAGACACACAGATCAGTGGAGCACAACACCAATCCCAGAAGGAACCCACACCTCCATGGTCACTTATCTGTGACAAACGAGGCAGCAACGTACGCTGAGCAAAGACAGGCTCTTCTGTACATGGTATTGGGCAAACTGGACAGATACATGCCAGAAACAAAAAAAGGTGAAACTAGAGCACTTTGTCTTCACTTTTCACAGCTCTAGGAAGCAGAAAATCAGCGAGGATATACACTCTGACAGAAAACATCCATCCCAACCGCTAAGCTCTGAATTCTCACACAGTGGGGTGCTTCCCAGGAACCCTGACAGCTAGTGACCTCAGCAGCCCCCACCCCCTTAACCAGGCTCTAATCTAATCTAATTAATTGGCTCGTCTTAAAGCAGAATGAACATTCACACGCCTGAGAGGGACAGAAATGAGTCAGAAAGCTTTTTACAAGACTCTTGTTTCTCTTCCGGTTAATATGGTGTCACCATCACACATGGCTTCCTGCAGACTCTCCCATTCTGCTGGTGGGTTTGCTGGTGGGTTTGCCTCACGAGTGCCTGATGGGCAGAGACTCCAGGTGTCCGTCAGCCAGGAGGGGGATGGGAAATAGGGCTGTGAACATGGCGTGACCACTGTTTCCTAAAGGCACAAAGTGACAGGGCCCCGCTTTTAGAAGTCATAACTCAGGTACGGAACTACAGCTCTGCTCATCCGAGGGTAGCCGCGATCCTCTAAAAGGAACACCCCGCCTGCTGCCCCCAGACAGGATGTAAGAATTCTGGCCAACGTCTAGGCTTCGATGCCGTTCCCTGTGGTCACCGACATACGTGAGCTTTGGGGATAAAGTCACATCCAGCCCACAAGCCCATCTCTCCCTAGATGAAGAGCTCCTGTGTCACGCAGCAGAGCCTGTACAAGTCTCTTTTCACTCTGTCAGGTTTTTCTAGGCTGTCCCGGCTCAGGCAGACGTCACACCTGTGTCGCAGGAGAACAGTGCGGGGGCAAACCCTGGCCTCTCCCTGATTTGGTCCCATCTTCCAGCTAAAAATGGTTTCTAGTTTTAAACTGTTGAGTAGCCAAAGCTTTAAAAGCAGCTAAAGGCTATTTTGTGACATCTGGAATTGAATCCCACCCACTTGAATGTAAGGAGACGAGACTCGTGCTTTGTACCTGCGTTCACGCCACCAGCACAGGTCAGTGGTTGCCACAGAAACCGTCGGGCCCATGAAGCCTGGAGTCGCGACTGTCTGGGCCACTGCAGGAAAGCTGGCCCATCCCTGGCTGGGAGCTTCAGTGAGCTGCACGTAGGGACAGAGCAGGACAGTCTGGAATCACAGTGGGACGGTAACCCTGAACTCTAAACCCCGCCTGTAATCCCACAGGAGTGCTGCCTGCTCGACCCTTGAGAAATGCAGGCTCTGCTCACGTGACATCATGATCTCAATAAATTCTCGTAAGACATTTCTGCCCGCAAGAATAAGCCGTCTACAGGTGGCTGAACATGTCAGTGGACTTCAGGGTGTCATCAAGGACAGGGCCTCCTAGTGGGCGGCCTGTCACCCTTGGTCTCCTGACACCCACAGGTCTGAAAAGTGTCCGTGACCACATGCCTTTTTTAAAGGAGGAAGACATTCCTAGAGTCCTGCACAGTTTTCCTCCGTGTGTCTTATTGGCCCATATGAGGCTATTTGCTCATTTCTAAACCAATCTCTGGCATGGAAAACGGAGTCGCCATCTGAGTTCGACTCTCCAGAGGCAGCCCTTTGGGCTTGGAAGGGACGGCGCCCTGCCTGACACGCACAGCCACCTTGATAACCACGAAATACCCGGGTTTGGAGGCAAGAAGGGGGGAGTGGCTGGCGACAGTATCTACTCTAAGCTCCTTAGGACTACAAGTGGTATAATGTCTGCTTTTAATGCAATAAAAAGTGCATTACGAAAGTTTAAATGTTAGAACCTTAACTTTTGGAATGTGATTTAAAATTTTTTCGTCAATAACACCTAGGTCAAAAAATAACCCAAACTGTCAAAGGTTACTGTATGCAGTTCTCAGTCTTTCCCTTTAGAATAGTAACTAGGAAAGTAAACCGGCCTGAGGTAGCCTAGACTTCGGAGTCAGGGAGCCGGGTGTGACTGGCCTTGGGTCCACATTTCCCCAGCGGCATGGCCCTGCACACAGCACTTATTCCCCGAGCCGCAGTTTCCTGAGGCACCGACGGCCCCACTGTCTGCGTCACAGGCCTAGGTAACAGGCTGTGTGCAGGGCGCATGGCAGAGACACGGACATTCAATAATAACGACTCGCGTACTAAACACGTACATGAATGAAACATACCCGGGAAAAGCATCAAGAAGATGTTAAACATCGAATTATAAACACGAGGAGAGGCACAGAACAGACCGAGTGAAGAATCCAAAAGCCCAGCCTCTAAAGTCGGAACTAGTCTGGCCCGCTGAGAACTACTCAATGAAATGATAAAACAAAAACAAAAACAACTGTGACTGTTAGAAGAAAATAGACAAAGTAGATCAAAATGTCGTTAGGAAACCCAGAGAAAATCAAACGAGCGACTCCTGGAACACACGGAATAGATGAGGAAGTCAGCTGTAGAGTGACTGTAGGAAGAGTGGCCTGTTTTCTGCAGACCAGCAACATCAGTTAGAAAAGAGGATGGAAATGCTAACACGGGGATGCCTGCTCGCTCTACCTCCCACAAAGATGAACAATATCTGTCAAACAGCAAAAGGTGAAGGAAAGCAAGCAACAGGCCACTCTGCGGATCGGAGTCAGGGCCTCCCTGAGCGACAGGAGCCGGGTGGGGTGGCAGCCACAGGAGACAGAGGCGCTGCGATGCGTCCGGGGAGGGAGCAGCCGCTGCAGAAGGGGAAGGGCACGCAGGCACGGTCTGTGCTCAGAGGTGACGGACGGAAGCACAAGGGCGTCCTGGACCAGCGACAGGATGACCAGCATCAGAGCGTGTAGGTGATGCAATCTCCCAAGCACGCAGCTCGGAGCAGCCGACAGACGAGTCCGCCCTGGACCTGGTGGCGACCAGCATTGGGGGAAAGGCCGTGCCATGAGGCAACAGCATGGGGGGGTCTCAAACATAGACACGGTGCCAACTCACTACCAAGGCCCCGTACGCATCACGTGATAAAGCACGCGCCTGGTCCCTGTGCCGGCTTGCCCCCAGAACGGCAATGGCTGTTACTCGTCGGGCCCAAGGTCAGGAGCGTTTGCCAACAACATGACCCAGGGTGGGGCTGGCTGCCACAAAGAACCACCATGAGAGGCTGGGGCTTTGGGCTGCCGTGACCTGGGGCGGGGGGAGGAGGAGGATAGAGAGGGACTGGCTCCGGCCTGCGGAACGAAGCCCAGGAACCACCTGGGACACAGAAGGTCGGTAGAGGTGCCCGATGGGGAGCGCGTCTGTGTGTGCTGGAGGGTGACACATCCCGATGCCACAGGGAGGGGACGTGGGGGCTGGGCCGTCAGAACAATCCCCGGCCTCGCCCCCCGTGTCTCTTCATCTAGCGGGACCCGCACCCCTTATGATCAGACTGTGGGCACACGTATAGCACTTACCTGAGTTCTGTGAGTTGTAGTGAATTAGCAAACCTGGGGGGATGGTGGGAACCCCTACATTTGTAGCCAGAAGTGCTGCTGGCCTGGGACCCCTAACTGGCAGGTGACACCTGACGTCAAGGCAGTCTTAGGGGGCAATGTGCCCACCCTCTAACCTGTGTAACCTGATGCCAAGTCCAGGCAGCTGGCTGGCATCAGAACTGTACTGCAGAAAAGCACCACAAAAGAGGGGCAGTGAATTACAGGATTCAGACAAGTAATTCACTCCAAATCTACTAGTGCAGAGAGGCAAAGAAAAAATCCTGAGAAAACCTATGTGACAGAGGGATACATCCTAAATTCCAGTGACACCCTAAGAGGATTCCCAATGGTGAGAAGAGATGACATGAGAAAAGAAACATGGATTTTTCCTTCTATTACATCCAAGAAAATGCCGTTGCACAGGTGTTTTGTTTTTTTAAATGACACAGTCTGAAACTCAAATCAGAAAGCACCCCAACTGAGCAGTAGGAAAGAATGAAAGCATTTGGTATTCGTCAAAGAGAGGGTATAGCTTGTTTGGCAATGACTAGATCTAAAATACGTTTAAATCGTAAAATGATGAGAGATACAATTGGAAGACAAGAAATAAAGATTCAGAAATTTCCAAACTGCTATGGAAAACAGACACAGAGAGAATGAGGGAAAGGGCAGTAAAAGGAACGAATGAGAAGAAAACAGTGAATTTAAAAAGCATAAAAATAAGTTGGTAGTATTAACTCCGCAAAACCAGTAAACGTCAGAAACCTAAGGACATTACTCTCTGGTAAAAGAGGCTTTTACACTGAGTGAAAAAAAAGATAATAAAGACAGCATCCAGCTTTGTACTGTGTTTGACAGTACAAAGTTCGACATCACTAAAAGAACTGACAAAAGTTAAAAAATAAGAATGTAGAAAAGACCATCTCAGCCAAACGCTGAGCACGTGCCGCCTGCTTCCCCGGAGCCGGGCAGCTGTCTCCCGGCACCTCCCTCAGGCAGCACCACGCATGTCTGGACCCGTCTGTCCTCAGCTGTGTCCCCTCCTTACAGGGTGTTTCCACCGGCCTGCTGGGGACCCGCTGCTCTGTTGTCACCCTGGCCTCTGGTGCTTGTGGGGCTTCCACGTGACAGTTCACACGACACGCTGGACCAGGTACTTGGGCCCATGGGCCTAATGTGTCACAGCCAGCTGCCCACCTAGCAGCCCGCCCTCTGCTCTGTGGGACGACCTACAGAGGACGTACACCGAGGGGCAGTCACAGGACAGGGGCCCGGCCAAGACACACGGGAACGGAGGCTGGGAGCCCGGGGTTCCCCGAGCTCCATGGCCAAGGAAGCAGGGGAACAGGTGCCTGAGACACAGAGAGGCCAGTCTGGCCCCTTCACGTGAGTCCCACCACGCACGAGACAGTAACGCCCTGACCCAGTTCAGCGGCGCGCGCGGCTCTCCCAGCAGGCAGCAGGCCCGCGTGTGCATGCTCACAGCACCCTCAGACCGGCCCCGCCGCCCAACCCCAGCCCCTCCCCTCCGCGGGGGACAAAGCTGCCCCAGTGCTGACACTGCCTGCGCTCAGCCACAGGACCCCTCTCTCTTACCTGCTCACAGGTGGGCAAGGTGTGTCCAGACGGGCCGAGCGCGGTCTCTTGGTCCTCCAGACTCTTAGGTGACTCAGTGTCACTTTTAAAGTATTTTCTGGGTGGAGGCTTCGGCTTGGAGGATGTCGGCTTTCTGACAAAAATCTCAAAGGATTTCTTCAGTCTCAGAGGCGGGTGGCCGTCCTGCTTGTCACCGAGTGGGGGCCTGGACGGAGCCTCAGGAAGCCCTCCTGGCTCCTGCCCCAGGGACATGCCGTGTGTCCTCGCTTCTAGGTCCGACGGCCGCTGCTCTCCGCCACTGCTGGGACTCCCACCCGGGGACGCGGACATGCAGCTGCTGTCACTGCTGGAGCGGGTCATGACCTTCTGAGCCCTGCGAGGCGGGGCTGCCCAGCTCCTCTCTCGCTCCTTGTCCAAGGCTGGCCGCCCATGCCAGCTGCTCTCCAGCCTTTTGACACCTGGGAAGCACAGGGAACCCCATGCCTGAGCTTGGGGAGACAGCCCGCCCCACCCATGCCTGCTTCTCATCTGCGCTCACTCTGCACATGGAGCTCGGCTTTGGTCCCTGGGAAGCTGAATGACCTCCGCTTGGGAAAATCCTTCCCCATTTCTGTGTCCACATGATGGAGACACCAAGTACACCCCACCCGCTGGGCCATTGAGAAAGGGCTGGGTGTCCCAGCGCTGCAGAGTGCAGTGGCAGGTGGCTACAGCCGTCCGCCCACCCCCTGCAGACTGCCTGCATTAGACAGGGCAGCCATCTCCAGGACAGCGCTGCAGGGGGTCAGACGAAGCTCTGTTCTCTCATCTCAATTCACCTGAGTGCAAAATCCTGTGTCTCCCCTGAAAATGTGAGTCACACTTCCCTAGTGAACTGCTAGCTTTCAACCACTGTCCACAAGCCAAGCTTGTCCATGATGATTGGGGTACAGTGTGAGTTAATGTTTTCCAAGGAGGCAAAGGTATTTCAAATTAAAGTTCACAATTTCCCTCACCTTCCAGACTCCACTGATGTCTCTCCTTCCCAAACTTGACGGTCTCCATGGCCTGGGCCACTGCGTCCTTCAGCTGCTGCTCAGAGACCTAGAAAATGACAATCCTCTCAAATAAACCACAGCAATGCTGCGTTGGGCTCCAATTCGGGTACCAGCCCTTCCAAACTCTCCGCAAACAGCTGACAAGAGTCCATTTGCAGAAACACCCCGGGCATCAGTGGTTTCCTCGTAACTTCTAGGTAATGTCCAAACTCAGTCCCTAAATGGGTTCTTAAAGTGGCCCGTCTCCACTCTGCAAACGCCCCTCTACTGCTTCCTTCCAAACTCCAGGCAAAGTGACCCCTTCGCAGTTCACCTCTGGAAGCTACTTCGTTCTTGGTGCTGCCAGGACATCACCACCGTCACTACCATCACCAGCACCATCCTAAGGACCACATCGCCATCTCACTGTCACACACCGTTACTGCCATCAGAGTCATCGTTAAGAGGGGGGTCTTGGAGCCAAACACATGTCTTCAAGCCCCACCTCACCCACCTGCTAACTGTGTATATTTAGACGATGTCCTTAACCTGAGTCCCTGTTTCTCCTTCCGTAACATAATGACAACATTAGAATCTGCTTCACAGTGAGGTGACGTCAGGGTTTTTTAAAAAAAATGACTGACTGAACAGACACAAACAGGGACTGGAATAGACGTTTCTCCAAAAAAGACAAAGGTCCGTAAGCACATGGAAAGGTGCTCCGTGTCACTAACGATTGGGAACGTGCGAGTCACAGCGACAGTGAGATGCCACCTCACACCCATCAGGATGCCTACTATCAAAACAAAACAAAAATGACAGGTATTGATAAAGGTGCAGAAATTGGAAGCCTCGTGCGCTGCTGGCGAGAATATGAAGCAGCGTGGCCGCTGTGGAAACAGCCTGGTAGGTCCTCAGAGAACTGAATCTGTAACTACCACACGCTGCCGAGACTCCGTCTGGGCATAGGCCCAAAAGAAGTGAAAGCTGGGTCACAGATATCTGCACACCCATGTTCACAGCAGCATCATTCACAATCGTGGAAGCAACCCGAGTGTCCAGCAGCTGGTGGGTGGGTATCCAGTGAAATTTTGTTTTCTGAAAAGGAAGGAAATCTCGCACAGGCTACCACATGGGGGACCCTTAAGGACATCGAGGTAAGTGAGATGGCCCAGTCACACACGCTCACACGCTGTAGGACTCTTTTACATGTCACAGAACATTCTATTGACGATGGATGCAGAGAGGAGGATGCTACTTTTTAGGGGCGGGGGGTGGGGTGAGGGACGGGGGCGGGAGTCGTTTGATGAGGACCGAGTTTCCGTTTTGCAAGATGAAAATTCCTGCCTATGGCGATGGTGAGGGCTGCACCACAGTGTGAGGGCACTGAGTGCCACTAGACTGTACACCTAAGCAAGGCGCACGCGGGAACATCGCCTAGGGTGCACTTCACCACAGTAAAGCGATGCTGAGTAAGCCCCTCACAGTGCCAGGCCCACGCGTGCCAAGGGGAGAGTCTCCCCAGATTCGCCCCCAGCAGCAGCAGCAAACCCGAGGTGAAAACCACTCCCCATTTCAGACCGGAGAAACCTGAGCCTTGGAGGGCTTCCAGGAATTTTCCAAAGTCAGCAAACTAAGCAGCCAAGCTGGGTGGGGGCCGGAGCCCCACCTTCCTCTAGGAGCAGGCTCCCTCGTTGGAGCAGGGGGACCCTGACTCCCGCCGTCCAGCCGGTGGCCTGTGTGTGCCCTGTCCATCCCTCCAGCCAGCACGCCCCCCCCACCCCTCTTCCCCATGGCTGTCACCATAGTAATCCAGAACAGGGACAGGCACTGGGAAATGGAGACCCCTTTCTCCGCCTGCCTACAGATTTAGCTCCACTGTTCCCCGTAAGTAGGAAGTTGGCGCTGCCCCCGTGTGCTCGTCCTGAGTGCTCCACACGGGCTGGGGCTAGCTCTGGGGTCCACGCCACAAGCCACTGTGTACACTCTGTCCCGTTAATGCTGGGGTTTGGGAGCCATGGCCGTGTCAGGGTTCAGGTCGAGCCTCACCACCGAGCTCCACCCAGGCAGGTTCCTTTCCTGTCTCAGCCCCGGGTTCCTGTGCTGACTTCAGAGGGGACTGGAAGACTAAACCCGAGGGCCTGTGTGGCATCTGTGCAAACAGGCCTGGCGCCCACTCCATACGGAGAAAACTGTGTTGATGATTATCGCCAGGTCCCCAGAGCACTCTCCTCACGCCCGTGGCTTTAACTCCCAAGCCTCAGCCTAGCCTCTATCCCACTGACCAGCGTTTCCAGCCTGAAACCAACTTGTGCACTGGCCTTGTCCAGCAGGGCGTCCCACGGCTGTGTGACCTGTCCCACACTGACACCGCTCTCCCCGCTCTTATTCCCTGTTCTGGTGGCGGTGGCGTCACTCAGGCTTCTCCCAAGCTCTAAATACTCAGCCACGCTCAGCTGCCCCCCACCCCCACCCCGTGCCCCGGGGGCTGAGGGGTCCGCGGCTCCCCAGGCTCTGCCCCCCGATGCCCCCTCCTTACATGCTGTTTAGATCACGCCGTCTCTGACCAACTCCAGAGCCCCCCACACCAGCCTGTCCGCCGCAGTCCAACCACACAGAAACCGGAAGCTGAACACGGTATACCTACAGACCTCGCCGCCCAGGGAACAGCAGGCAAACCCCAGCATCCTGTCCGAAACCCTTTATGGAGACGCTCCCGTGCCCTGCAGACGCCACTCCACGCTCTCGTCCCAGCCCCACAAAACCTCCCACCGTCTCCTCGGACAGGGCCCTGCGCTGGCACCGTGCCTGCAGATCTAGAGGCGGGAACGGACGGGAATGCTGAAACCCGGCCCAGGGGTCTGGGGTCTGGGTGCAGAGCAGCCAGATGAGCCTGCGCGGCCTCGCGAGCACAGCGGAACCACAAGTCAAAGAACTCAGGTGCCAGACGTGCTGCTGCTGCCACGGGGCCCTTAAAGAAAGATCCTGCCTGAATCAGGTTTCCGGAACCCGCCTTCATATTCGCTTCAGGGCTTTCCTGTGACGCGGGCCTGGGCCTGGCCTCCGGTCTCCCGTTAGCCGCCAAACCAGCTGTATTTCTCTGTGAAAATCTCCTCACACCGGCTTCTCCGCACAGCGGGCAAGGAGCCCACCCATTTGGCTGGGGGTCATCAGGACTCCGCCACCTTGGGCAGTGTCCCCGCTGCACCCAGCATCTCCTGCGTCCTGCGAGCTGCCCTGTCTCCTGGCGTCCCTCAGCACTGACTGCCCTGGGCTGGGGCTGTTTCTATGTTGGGCTCTCCAGCCAGACCGTGATTTCAGGCAGGACCGTGCACTGCGGACGCGCCTCTAGCTCGGCGCACGCAATGGATGTGTGGCTGGAGGGGTCTCCTGCCCCTCCTAGCAGGGCCCTGCCTGCGCCAGAGCCTGTCACCCAACTACGAGAGCCCCCCGCTGTCGCCATCGCCCCTGCTGCCAGCCTTGTTAACACACACACGGGGTTCTGGACCTAGCCGTGTCTGGTTCCAGTCTTTGTACTGAAACAATACGTGAGCCTGGGGGGAGGGGTACCCAAATGGATGTCACCTGTGGGTCCGGATGCCGGCTCACAATGATGGGGACGGGCCCGGGTTCGCAGTGGCTCAGGACTGAGTGGACCTCATTCAGCGTCATGCAGGGCACAGGCGACTCGTTGATTTCCACGATCTCGTCACCGCACCTGTAAGACCGTGACCAGGAAGCCGTGGGCAGGCCAGTCCGCGCAGCGCAGGGACGGCCACGTACCCGGACCCAGTCCTGCCGCGGCCGCTGGATGACACCCAGAAACCACATCAGTAAGTAGACGTCCCTGCTTAACTGCCAAACTTGGAACAGGGTAGCGAGCACCGCCTTGCTGAGCGACCAGAGTGGGGACACCTCACCCCTCAGTGCCCAACGTGACAACACAGTGTCTGCAGCCACCCGGCAAGGCTGAGGGCAGCTGAACGCTCGTAACCAGGATGCACCCGTCACGTCCTCCCTTTGGGCCTGCGGAGGACGGAGGGACGACACGTGCTCAAGGTGAAGAAGAAAGAACAGGGGGCGGGGAGGAGGAGAAGTGGAGGTTCTCGCAAAAAGGAATAAGGGAGAAGACGACGAAGCTCACTCCTGCTGTACAGAGGGAAGTGAATTACTAAACAGAGAAAAACGAGACAGATAAGATGGGGTTGCATCGATACATGGAAGCTCTGTACTGTCCACGCCCTCGTTTCATAGACGGGGAACCAAGGCACGGAGGGTAAACTTATCTCCGCTGTAAGCCTTTGCTTAGGGAGCAAACGCCTTCCTCTGGAAAGGCCGTGAGTAAGTCCTTTAGGCCTGGCAGGCCATACCAGTCACAGAACGCGACCGCCATGTAGCACGAGCACTGCAGCCACACGCTACGCGAGTGGGGCTTTGCTCCGACCAAACGTTAAGAAAGCAGCAGCCGCGGGCCCCAATCTGCCGAGCTCTGTCCTCGCTGCTTACTGCGTGTCCTGATACTGACCATAATGTCCCCGAGTCTACTTTTCTGCCCCATTGGTCCCCCTTCACCTTTGAAACTGCACGTTTCCATTGACGTAACTGGACACCGTGCCTGTATAGCACCGGATGCCAAGGGACGCAGAAGCTTCCAGAACGGTCCCTACCCAGCTGCAGGGCTGTCACTGAGTCTGCAGTTACGCCCCAGGTGACAAGAGCCCAGCTCCCTCAACGCTCCATCCTAAGGGGCTTGCCTTTCCCACACGCGATTATAGGAAAACCTTTAACCATCTGGCAAAACTCTGCTGATGCAGCAAAACCCAAACCCAGTGAGAGGACAGAGATGAAGACGGATTACACAAGAGGAGACACTGTGAATGGAACTTGGGGCAAATAAACGGGAACAACTTGAACTGGGAAAAACTGTTGCCACCAAATTCAGATCACTTATCGAAAAGAAAGTTTAGATTTGTACTTTTCGTAGAGGTTACTTGCGGAGAAATGTTTCTGGAATGCCTGACAATGTTTTCTGTAGGCCAATGAGCTGCTTTCTCTACCTACAGGACACAGGTAAGCCTCACAGACGTCCCTCTGACGCCACTCTTCTCCCCACGTCAGCTAAATCTGCAGTGTGGCTCCCTCACGTTTCCTGCTTAGTCCTGGTGTTCTCTGTGGCGGGGCCTCTCGGGCTGCACCGCGCCTGTCACACGGGTTCTCAGCAGCCTAGGACTCCGCTGCGCACCCGCCCGCCCAGGGATCCCCATGCCGCCGGCCCAAGGAACATGCTAAGGGGAGCAGGCCCTCAACCATGGCTGGACCACTCTCAGTTCCTCCTGTCCGCTGGGAACCAGGCGTCTGGTCACAACCAGAACAGGGACATACCGGAGCCGTCCGTCCAGATGCGCCACGGATCCCGGGGACAGCGTGTGCACGAAGATGCCCGAGATGCACTGCAGATAGGGGACGCTGCACAGGCCGATGCCCAGGCCGACGCCGGCCTCTGGAGGCGGAACGGGAGGGGGGTGAGGGCTGCGGCCCCCGCGCGCTCTGGCACCCAGCCCACCCGTCCTCGGGAACATGCAACATCAGCAGCAGGGATCCAGGCGAGTGGAAGGACCAGGGAGGGAGGGTGTCAGCAGAGAATGAACAGGCAATGTGCTGGAAAGCAGCAGGATGGCCACGTCAGGCCTCCGAGGGCAGGACATCGAGGCTAAAGTTGGAAGACGGGAAGAAGGCGGGGACAGGGGATGGGGCAGAAGCTGTGGGCCACATGGCGGGCACAAGGCCGGCCAGAGACGGAGGTGGAGGCCCACGTATGTGGTAGGTGTGGACACGGCTGGGTCCGTGGCAGGGCCTGTCCTACACTGACAGTCCTCAACAAGGGGGTGACGTGACCTCATTTGTTTTTACAGCTGTGATGGGGTGCTGTGAGGACAAAGGACGACGAGGGGTCAAGGGTGTAAACGACGAGACCAGTTAAGGGACAGAAAACAGTGGCCTGCGTTTTCCACGGTGTTAAGTTCAAGTGCAGAGGGATGGGGGTGCTTTCTGCGTGTAGCTGTGTGTGTGGTGTGTTCGCTCTGCCTCACGTTGCCCCCCAAACCTGAACGCATGGACCGATTCGGACAGTGTCCTCCCAGGGCTTCTGCAGATGCAGAGAGAGCACTGGGCCGGCTGCTAAGCGAGGACCTAAAATCTGCTCCAAGACACCCCCGCGCTGCCGCTGGCCGCTTCCCAGTGAGGAACGCCGGGAGGGGAGGGGCACTCGGCCAGGCGCCCTACCTTTCCTCAGGGACACCTCCACCATGACCCTGTAACTGGGCTTCGCCGAGCCGGCGGGGGCTGCGGGCTGTCCCACGAGGAAGGAGCTGCTGTCCCTGGTGACACAGGTGCTGGAGCTCAGGGAGCGGCACAGCGGAGGGGACAGGTGGCTGCTCAGGGAGTGGGGGGCCGTCAGCCGCGTTCTCACCGTGAGTGTCAGAAGCCCCTTTTTAGCTTGCTGAAAGGAAAGAGGGCGCTGCGGCATTCAGGGGTGGCTTGGGCGAGGGGGGCGCCCTGTGAGTAAGCGTGTCAGAGTGTGTGTGTGTGTGCGCGTCAGACTGTGTGTGTGAGTATGTGTGTGTCAGAGTGTGTGTGTGCGTATGTGCTTGTGTGTCAGACTGTATGTGTGATTGTATGTGTCAGACTGTGTGTCAGAGTGTGTGTGTGCGTGCGTGTGTGCTTGTGTGTCAGACTGCATGTGTGTTGGTGCGTGTGTGATTGTGTGTGTGCATCAGACTGCGTGTGTGTCAGACTGTGTGTGTCAGACTGTGTATGCATGTGTGCGTGTGTGTGATGTCAGTGCGTATATACACAGATCATAAACTGCATTAGATGTACACATATGACACATTACATATATGACAACGGACGTGTATACAGATACATTCGAGTCTTCGACTAACTAGATGGACACTCAAAAATGCCTTCCAGTGACGACCTTAAAAACCTAAAACCAATTTATAAATATATCAATATAAGTACATACCAAATTTTAAAACGTTTAAGATGTATGAATCCTAAGCGGTTGAACAGCCCCCTGTAACACTCGTGGTCACCCCAGCAGTGTCTGTGTTGGGGTCTCTACACTGGCCAATACAGCACCACCTGGGTGCCCCCCAGGAAGGCTCCCTGTGTGTAGTTCTCTGGTGGTTTTATAGGTTGCGTTTGGAGCTTTGAATGAAGGAGGGTGATGCTGGGGCCTACCTTGGTTCCTTTGCCTGAAGGCCCACACTGGGCCATATCCTGATACCAGCTACTCACCTTAAACTTCTGCAAAGCATCCTGATGGGTCAGCCCGGCCATTGATTCACCGTTGAGTTCCAGAATTTCATCCCCTGTGGGGTGAGGGAGAAACTGTAGCCTAGTCGGGCACCACCCTCACCTGGAACCCTACTCTCGCCCACCTGCCCGGCGTCTGTACATGCGCAGAGCACTGTGAAGACGTGTCTTGTTCAGTGCCCGCTGCCCCCACCCTCACCGCTGCCCAGAAGCAGGCGGGGCAGTGGCCATCGCCCTCTCTGGCCCCTCTCAGCTTCCGGGAGGGGATCCGGGGTGCTCAGCCAGGCCTGCGCGGCCCAGCCCGGTCCCTTCCACCTCTGGGCTTCACCTGCTTCCCTCACTCCGTTTGCTCCCATGAGCCGTTTCCTCACACAGCACAACCTGCCTGTGCCACTGTCTCCACTAAATCGTCTCCTGCCCATCTTATCTTTGAAGGCCCTGCTGCCTTTATTTCTTTGCACCCTCCTGACACCCTGCAGCCACCCCGGCACGCACTCCTCCACCTGGATGGTAACCAGTGACCAGTGACAGTCTCTCCCACCCCAGGACTGCAACCCCTGGAAGACAGGGCTTCCTCTCTAGATGCTTTGTCCCCAGGGCCCCGAACGCAGCCATGGCCTCGTTTCACAGAAGAGGAAGGTGAGCTCAGGAGTGCAGAGCCACATGGAAGCAACAGCTGGGACTCAGCTCTTCTTACTCCAACTCATTTCTGCACAACACTGTGCACCTAACAAGACATGTTCTGTATCCACGTACCTGTTTTTATGTGAATGGCAAGCCGCTTTCTCCCTTTCAGTTTAGTCAATACACCAACAAGCAACACTTTCTCCATATTCAACACAGTTCTGGGCAGTTAAGATGCAAACACTTTTTTAAGTGGACTTCTGGCCTAACTGTACTGGTGAGAGCTGCTGTCACCTGAGAGAGACCCCGCTGTAGGTAACATCCTTTTTCTCTGGTTGTTTTTAAGGTTGTTTTCTTCACCTGTCCTGGACAGTCTGCAGTATCACTGTATGTGCTAAGTTTCATGACTTAAAACAATTCTGGAAAATTACTGGCCACTGTCTCGTGGACTGTTCTCCTTTTTCACTTTTTTGTTTCTGTAATTACACAAAGCCACACTACCCAAAGCAATCTACAGATTCAGTGCAATGAAAATAACAATGGTATTTTCCACAGAACGAGAACGAATGACCCCCAAATTAACATGGAACAAAAGACCCCGAATAGCCAAAGCAATCCTGAGAGAGAAGAACAAAGCTGGAGGAATCACACTACCTGATACCAAACTATCCCTACAAGGCTGTAGTCATCAAAACAGCACGGTCCTGGCAGAAACAGACACATGGATCAGTGGAGCAGAATAGAGAGCCCAGAATAAACCCACACCTATACTATCACATAATCGATGACAGGAGAGGCAAGAATATACAACGGGGTGAAGACAGTCTCTTCAATAACTGGGTTGGGGAAACTGGACAGACACACTGAAAAAGATGAAACTAGACTGCTTTCTTACACCACGTACAAGAATAAACTCAAAATGGGTTAAAGGCTTACATGTAAGACCCAAAACCATAAAACTCCTAGGAGAAAACACAGGCAGTAAACTCTCTGACACTGCGCTTAGTAATATCTTCTCTGACATATCTCCTCACTCAAGGGAAACAAAAGAATAAACAAATGGGATTACATCAAACTGAAAAGGTTTTGCACAGCGAAGGAAACTCAACAAAATGAGAAGACAACCGACTGAATGAGAGAAGATATTCACCAATGATACATCTGATATGGGACTAATATCCAAAAAATATAAGGAACTCATACAACTCCACATACACACACAAAAAAAACAAACAATGCAATTAAAAAATGGGCAGAGGACCTGCATAGACATTTCTCCAGAGAGGACATACAAATGGCCAACAGACATATGAGAAGATGCTCAAGGTCACTAATCATCAGGGAAATGCAAATTAAAACCACAATGAGATACCACCTCACACCTGTCAGAACGGCATCATCAACAAATCAACAAACGACAAGTGCTGGCGAGATTGTGGGGAAAAGGGAACCCTCATGTACTGTTGGTGGGATTGTAAATTGGTACAGCTACTATGGAAGTCAGTACTGAGGTGCCTCAAAAAATTAAAAATAGACCCAGCAATTCCACTCCTGGGTATTTATCCAAAGAAACCCAAAATATTAATTCAAAAAGATATCTGCACCCCTATGTTCATTGCAGCTTTACTAGTAACAGCCAAGACATGAAAGCAACCTGAGTGTCCATCCATAGACAAATGGATAAAGAGGAGGTGGTGCATTTATACAATAAACCATTAGCCACAAAAAGATATAAAAACCTGCCATTTGTGACATGGATGGACCTAGAGGGTATTATGCTCAGTGAAATAAGTCAGACTGATAAGGACAAATACCATATGATTTTACTTACATGTGGAATCTAGAAAACTAAACAAACAGGTAAAACAGAAACAGACTCATAAATACGGAGAACAAACTGATGGTTGCCAGAGGGAGGGGGCTGGGAGGCTGGGGGACAAAGGTGAAGGGATAAAGAGACACAAACTGGCAGTTACACAACAGTCAGCGGGATGTAAAGCACAGCACGGAATACGGTCAATATACTGTAGTAACTGGATGGTGCCGGGGGGAGTAGACTCATGGGGGGAATCACTTAGTAAGTTATATAAATGCCTAATCACTATGCTGTACGCCTGAAACATATAGTATGTTTGTCACCTGTAACTGGAAGTTCCTAATAAAGAAACCTACACAACCCCATGCTTAGCTTCTGCTCTTCCGCCCCCTCCTTCGCCTCCTACTGGTCGTGACAAATCATCTTTCTGAGGTTTACGAAGACCAGAAACCTTCACGTTTTCTGTGGCCCGCCTTTCATCTGCCACCTTCAAGGAGGTTGTCACTTGCCCCATCGGGACTGTCCTCAGGACAGGCCCTGGGAGCCAGAGTGGTCTCCTGCCAGCCGGCCCCCCCCTGCACTCTGCTTCCCGAGCCTGAGCTCCTGCTCAGAGCCGGTCCCTCCCACGATACAAACGCACCCAAGGCTCCCGCTGCCCGCACAATACGCACACGCACGATCCCGCACAATGTGAGAGCTGGCGCTTTCTCCATAGCCAGCCCGAGAGTGAGTCCAGGCCTCGCAGGCCACATGCTCTGTGTGGCAGCTAGCCAGCAGCCAGACAGGAGGTCAGGGAAGGGACGTGCGTCCCAGGAAAGCTTCCTAGGGAGTCTGACATGTGAATTTCATTTAGTTCTTGTGTCACAAAAGACTTTTTCAACCACTCTTCGCCTGTGAGCTGTGTGACCACGGGCAGATCTGACCCTAAACAGGTGAGGCTGGCAAAGCTGGGCAGGTTCCCAGCGCAGTGGGGACCCGGCCTGACAGAGCTGGGGCTGCTGTGACATGGCCCGCCCTCAGGCCTCCGTGCGCAATGCTTGCCTCTGCTCTGGCTGCCTGACCCTGAGCTCTGCCTCCTGGCTGAAACTAGGGGGTACCTCTGGCCAAGGCCACCCGCCAACGACCCACAACTCCATGGAGTTGGAGATGGGGACCACACCCTGCCCCCCAAGACAAGAGGAAGGGCACTCAGGCACCTCAGCTGCCCAGCACGACTGACCGGGGCCCCCGTCCCCTGAGAGTTGAGAGGAGGTGGCTGGCAGGAGTCGGGTGGACAGGAGGGGAGGACGGCAGCTGGGCAGGCCATGGGCGCCTCAGAAGAGGGGTCATACCTGATCATTCTCTGCGTTCCCAGAGTCTAGAGTGTAGTAGGCTCACAGAGAATTGTTACCCAACTCTTTCAATGCATTGGGCCAGGTTTCCCTATGGTTGCTTGGGGGGACAGGGGGCACAGAGGTGGCCAGGAACCAACAGGAGACCTTGAAAAGGAAGGAGGTGGCAGTGGGAATGGGACCGGCTCCCGTCGCAGCTGACACCTGGCACCAGGACAGCACTGCGTGTGCAAACACACACCAATGCGGCTGCCGAGTCGGGTCCATGCAAGCTGTGTCCTCAGCCCGGCACCCCTCATCTACAAAGGGCTGGGAAACATACCTTCTTGGAGCCGGCCGTCAGCGGCTGCTGCTCCCCCTGCGAAGATGGTTTTCACGTAAATTCCAATGGGGCCATAGATGCTGTCCTTCCCTCCAACGATGCTGAAGCCCAGGCCCTGGGGAGGGAGACAAAGGTCAGGCCCAGCGTCCCTACTCTGCTCGCTGGGCTGCACTGCCCAGGCGGCCCTGGTCTCACAGGTCTCGGGACCGAAAGGAACGGGCAACGCCCCGCGTGGAGTTTTTACAGGAGTCCAACTTCCTCCCCAGGGGACGCGGGAAGAGGGAGACTCCAGCCCTAACTGGCGGGATGGGCCGGCCACTCCCTCTCTCTGCGCCTCACTTGATCTTCGTGTACAGTGATGCTGATACCGCCTAACTCAGGGCTGTGCTGGAACATGGAATAAGAGGCCCGGCAACAGTAACTCGAGCATCAACCACAAGTGCCAGCAGGCGCTTCCCACAAAGGAGGCAACTCTGCTGCCCGCGGCATGCGCTCCCCACCCGCCCCCTCCGGAGGACACCACTGCAGGCCTGTGCGCTCTCCTCACTCCTGGTGGCTCCACGAGGAGAGGACCGTCCCCAGCCCGGGCACAGGAGCAGAGAGGACGGAAGCAAGGACAGGTGTGCATGAGCGCTGCTGCAGGAGGCGGCGGGAGGGAGGGTGTGCCGAGTCCCCCACCCCCCCCCCCAGACTGGGCACACCTGGGCAGACCAGAAACTAGCAAAGGAAGCATGCACACCGCTGCTTTACTCTGCCGATGACTAAGGAGCCCCCTACTTCTCACCAGGGCTCAGCGTGGGTGTCCACGAAGGCCTCCCTAGACTCTGTGCCCCTGAAGGCAGCGAATGCACCTGTCTGTCAGTGTTGGCAGCTGTGGCGTGAAGGCCCGAGTGCCAACTGGAGGCCGGGCCTGTGAGTCCTACTTGCAAGTGTGCCAGGTAGTGCTCAGTAGCCTGGCTCCTGGAAAGGCCCCCAAAGTGGTGGCGGCCTCGGTGATGGCACCACTGCCAGTGGCTGCTGAGAGTGCATTATGTGCATCACCACAGACAGCAGGACAGGCGGCCGGTTCCAAGATGCCATGGGAACCAGGGAGCTATTAGCACAGGGGCTGCGCTGAGCATGTGCGTGGTGGTGTGTGTCCCAGGACAGAGAGATGGGGGGCGGAGCAGTGGCACAGGGGGAGGGAAGGAGAGGTGGGCGCGGCTGCAGGGCTCCCTCCTGGGCCCACGGCTCTGTCCTGGCTGAAAGGATTGCTCTAGGCTCAAACTCACCGCCCCGGGACGCACGGGGTCGGAACAAGGCCCGGGGCGCAGGAAGTCTTGGGTCATTGTCTTGGTTGGGCTGCTCGGGACCCCAGGGACCTTGGGCAAGTCCGGTGACCTCCCAGGCTGTCTCCTCATCTAGCACAGAGCCTGGGCTTGGTCGGTGCTTGTTCTGTTGTTTGTTTGATCCAATCTGACTCTCCCTCAAGCACTGTGGGTCCCTGCAGCTCTGCGCTTCCTTTTCCTCCTCCTGAACTCAGCCCTGGCCTCACTCTTACTGGGCGTCCCCAGTGACGACCAGGTCTGGGGTCGTGGACAGTGGCAGGCCTGCCTCGTGACCCGGTCACCCTGCTTTGTCCTCCGCCCCAGGCACCTCCATCTGCCCAGCAGCCCATGCGCTACAGGCACCAGCACAAGCCACCGGGGTCGTCTCTGTGGGAGTCCAGCTGCCCGTCCCCACTCTGCCTTCTTCCCACAGCAGACAACGCAAAAGTCAACTACTTTAAAAATACTTCTGCCTCAATTCAAGGAGGTGGGGGGAGACAAGCATTGCGCTTTACTAACCAGGAAGCGGGGCTGTGTGGAGAGAAGCCAGCACTGGGCACGGTCACTCCCTGTGACAGGGGGATGGCGGCCTCAGCATTTCTCACCTGTCTTCCCGGCATCTCTTTACTGAGCTCCCAGGAGAGAGAAGGATCGAGAGACAGGAGGACTGGCATGTGTGGCACCCCGCAGCCTGCTTCCACAATGCCCCTTAACATGTGTGTCTGGAGCCAGTGTTGCCGGCCCGCCTCCCGCCTTCCTTCCCCAGACAGCGTCTCAGACCTGGTGTCAGTCAGGAGCTGACGCTGGCGACGGTCCTCGCTTACCTTGGCCTGGCCCTTCATCAGCACGACGCTGGAGATGACGGAGGCCTGGAGGCCCCCGGATGGCTGCACCAGCTGAGCTGTGCTCAGCGACCGCGTGGGTCTGGAGGTGGCCTGCAGCAAGGAAGCAGGGAGGGATCAGATGAGCCAGCAGCTGACTCTCACAGCACACACCTCCCAGCCGGGGGACAGAGGACCCAGGTCCCCTTTCTCTTCAGGGCCCACAGCCTGGAACTGGGTGGTGGGCGTGTGTGGGCATCTGGTGGAGAGGGGCTGTCTGGGTGGCCCCAGGAGTGAGCCTTGCTGAGACTGGTAGCCCTGGAAACCAGCAGCTGAGGCTCAGGAAGGCTCTGTCCAGGCAGCAGGTCCAGGAACCATATCAGATTACAGGCCCCAGGGCAATGAGTCCTACAACCAAGTCTCAAGCACAGTCTGCGAAACCAACTGCCAGGAACGCCCCCAACAGGATTCTAGAAACATTCACTGAGACCCCTCTTTGTGCCAAGTATGGGGTGGTGGGCAGCGGGCAGGGACCGGAGATGGGAAGACTCCAGGCATAAACTCTGGGGGCACACAGGTGGTTAAAAGGGCACGTGCCCGGTACACCCTGTGTGTGCCCCAGGAAGCCACCTCAGACAGGGGCCACGTGGCTGCGGGTTAGAGCTGAGGCTGGGAGCCCCCGTGACTGGTTCCTCCTGGCTCTGCCAACCATCGGCGGTGACCTTGGGAAAGTGACGGAAGCTCTCCATGCCTCCGTTTCCTCCTCTGTAAGATCATAGGTCACTTGGGAAGCCATCTTTTTTAAAAAATGGAACACCAGTGCTTCCTGTCTGCCATCGATCAACATGATGGTTCTGGGAGGGGAGGGGTGGAGGGGAGGGGGAGACATGGCATTTTCAAGTGTCTGACCATGGAGCCCACCCTCAAGAGAGCTCCCGGTGTGCTGGGGAGGTAAGCCGTGCTGTGGACAACGACACAACAATACCCGCGGGGTGAGTGAGAGCTGGGCACGGGGGAATGCTAGGGTCCTGCAGTGGGGCGTCAGGAGCGCTTCCTGCACAGGGTATGTGAGGGAGGCCTTGGAAGGATGGGGTAGCGTTTCCAGAGAGGAGCGCGCGCGGGGCACAGCGCTGCCGCCAGAGGGCGCTGTGTGACCATGAGTGGCCGCAGGGGGACTCGGGGACCTTTGCGCATTGGCTGGGGCTTAGGGAACTAACAGGAGGAGGTGTACAGGTTGGCTGGAGCGACACGTGTGGGGGACACTGTGCCCCATAGCTGTGTGGCACCCCACCGCAAGCGGATGCTCCACAGTGGGAAGGGCACCGTTCAATTTCTGGTCCCTTAGGTTTTAAGATGTATGAACAGAGGCAGCCTTGCCAAAAAAGGCTGTAAAAAGTTTCCTCCCTGCAAAATGGGCTAATGCTACCTTCCTTTCTGGGCTTCTGTTAGGAATTACAGGCAGTATGTGTAAAGCAGATCACGTCTCACAGGGGTTATAAGCCCAGGTGTGGGAGTCCTGGGATCCAACATCCAGTCCTGCGCTGTCCCTGGTCAGCCAGCCACACGAACGTGCAAATTCCTGAACTTGTCCAAGGCCCAGACCCCTCAGTTTACCTCTTAGGGGTTTTGTGCACGTGACACGAAGGGCCCACGTACAGCCTTCTTCGCGGCTGGGGGGGCGCAGCACACAAGGGGCGGCAGTCAGAGTTCCCGGGCACACGGGGGCGCTCACTAAGCGACCGTTTCCCAGAGGGGGCCCAGCTCCTGCTAAGTGCGGCCCCTCCCTGCGGCCCCTCTTCCCCGGGCCCTCCCTTCATTCTCACCACAGCCCTTCCTGCAGGGCAGTCCAGCTGCTGAGAGAGCGACTTCCTGCCACTGCAGAGGGAGTAGGGCTGCCCGTCAGACTTCTTGGTCGCTGGAAAGTCTCTCTCTGCTGTGCAGTAGGGGTTGACACCTAGACCAGGGCAGGAAAACAGGGAGAAATCATTTGTGCTTTCACAGGCAACGCCGCTGAGAACAGCAGCGGCCCCGCCAACTGTCCGCGCGGCCAGCCAGGGGCCAGAGCGCCCAGGGCCGGGTGCATGTGGGGACAGCTGCCCAGAGAAGCGGTGGCGGCCGTCTCATCTCCACATACGAGCTTTCCGCACCGCAGGCTGCAGACCGGACTCGCGTGTCCACTTCCCCAGTTCACCTCAAACAGAGTAGAGTGGACAGGCACCTCCTCCTGTCCGGCAGGAAAGCATGCGCTGGGACAAGGCCAGTCCCTGAGGGCTGGGCCTTTTCTTTCCCCTTCAAGGACAGAAGGGACGACAGCACAAAGGGTGCCAGGGACAGGCAGGGCCCCAAGAGGCGCGGGCAGGAGCCTGGGGGGCTGCCATGGCAACACGCTGCCTCCCAAAGGACCTGACTGCCTATGTGTATGCGCGCGCATGCGCGTGCGCAAACCCCTGACCCCCCAGGCAGAGTGGACACTTAAGAAAATGCGAAGCAATCAGCTTCCTGTCCTGGGGACCCCAGACTTCCTTCCATCCAACCAGGACTGTGCTGCATCCTGCTGGAAAAGTCCTGAGAGGCTCTGCACTAGACCAGCGCGTCCCTTTGGAAACACAGTGGAAGCCACAGGCGTCATTTCAAAGTTTCTAGTAGCCACATTTAAACAGTCAAAAGAAACAGGTAAGATTGGTAACATGTTCTATTTAGTCCAACAAACCTAAACTCTCATTTCAACACATAAATAGCACATAAAATTAGTGAGATAGTTTACAATGTTTCTGAGTTGTGTACAGCGCTTGGATCTGGCCCGTACGGGCCACACTTCAGTGCTCACCCGGTGGCCACTGCCTGGACCGCATAGCTCCAGGACCTGGAGGGCGCTGCGTTTTCCTAGGGTTCCTCCGCTCTAGTGAAGTGGACCAGGCTTTCGTGGAAAATTCCCCGACAGAAAGCCGCGAGACTGGCGGTAGTTCTGGGGGGAGGCGGGTTGGAGCAGGGCATCATTCTCAGGGTGGAAAGACCTGGGCTAATGAGGGCGGCAGGAAGGGAGCTGCTGACCAGGGTGGGCTGAGGAAAGAGGAGAGAAGGGCGTCCGGAGGATGTGAGACCCCTAAGGGGAGGAGGAAGGGGAGGAAGGCGAGCTCTCCAACTGGTCTCAGCCCTCTCCTGCGCTTTCTGCAAAGTACTCGCGGATGAGCGCAGCCACAGGCAAATCCATCAAAACTGTCATCTCATGGGGAAGTTGAAACACTTAAACACACAGCACTGAGCGAGTTCCATGAAAATGTGGGTATAAAATCCAGTGCAGAAGCCAAAATAATGTTTGAAAGGGAAACTATATATTGTGATGATTATATGAGTTTGTAATTTAAGGTTATGTTGAATTATGAAATGGAAAAATAAATGGGAAATGGGACTAGAGATAAACAACACCATCTTTCATAAGGGGGACAATTTGGAAAACATAGTCTTGAGTTTTAACTGATTAATTAAACCTAATTAAAGGAAACCAGAAATGAAGATAAAAATTGAATAAACCTTCAAAATCACTGCAGAAATTAAGCACACACACAGAGAGCAAGAGGCTGAAAACAAATGACAAGTGGCCAGAAAAACAGAAAGTAAAAACTAATAAAGGTAAAAGCAAATGTTATTTATAACACTAATGTCAGCAGCTTCAGCTTCTGTCTTTAAAAAGATTGCCAAATTTGCTTTCAAGACCTAACCCCTACATTTGCAAGAGGTAAACAAAAAGAGTAAAATAAATGATGGGCAGAAACTGATTATCAGTAAGTGATACTGGAATCAGCTACCCGCCTAGGAAAAAAATCCATCTAGATTCTTGCTTCATATCAAACACCAAACATAAATTACAGATCTAGTAAGTGTGAAAAAAACAAACCCCAAATCATTTAAAAACTAGCAGAAAATATAGCTGAATATTTAATAGTTCTCTGGATGTAGAAGAAACTTGAACATTAGAAAGGAAAAAAGAAATCAATAGATTTGATGAGTATGTAAAGATGAGAACATCTTCATGTAAAAATATTTAAAACCAACCGAGGAAAGTATGTTCAACAAATATGACAGCCAAATAAATATCAATTTGACCAAGAAGACTTTTTACAAATTAATGGTAAAACAATGATCATCCCAATAGAAAAGCAGGTGCACTCACAAAAAGGGACATTAACGAATGAAGATTTAACCTCACGCATGTGGAGAGGCGCTCTTTTCCACTCATGTCACAGGCCAGTGAACCAGTCAGGCTTTGGACAAGAAGCAAAGCATCTCAGCAGGGACTCTGAGAGCCAGAATGAAGGGGCTCCTTACACAGGGGTACCCAGGGTTTAGGAACAGGACGAGGCCTACTGAGGCATCTCGGACGTGGCTGGAGCTGGAGGTGCCCCACCCCAGGCCTGAAGGACAAGGGGAGGGAAGGCATCCCCAGAGCCCCGTGCATGCTGGAGCCGGCATCTCCAGAACTGCAGAGGGAATGGAAGAAATGCCAGCGGCGCTCTCCTCACTGCTCCGCCAGCCTCCTGGTGATCCTCTCATTGACTGAACTCAACTAGAAACCGGAGAAGCAGGGGGCCTGGGTGACACCGGCGGAAAGAGTCCATGCCCAGGGCGCAAGCAGGGCTGTGACGTCACGCAGTCCCACCCTTAGGAGGTCCATGCTCTACTGTTGCCCTGTTACTATTCTACATTTCTGAACAGGGGTCTCACATCACTGACCCCCCAGATTGTGCGGCGGGTCCTTGGTGCAAAACGAGGCAGGAAAAAGGCAGACGATGGGTGGGGGAGGAGGGGGAGAGAGAAAAACCTGCACAGCAAATATTTTTACATTATAATCCAGTGCGGGCACAACTGAAGAAATTGGTATTCATGTATATTGTTAGAGTATTAGCTACTGACATTTGGCAGCACAGATCACAATGTAAGGAATATTTATTTACCTTTGAAACTCCATTTCTAGGCAATTATGCTAAAGGAATAAAAAGTAAAATTTTATGATAAAAAAAAAAAGTAACTATATCAGGGTGATCACTTCATAAGGTATATGTGTCCAGTCACTATGCTGTTTACCTGAAACTAATATAATGTGTGTTAACTGTAATTGGACAATAAATTAATTTCATAAATAAAAGCAAGTAGCAGTCCAAAAAACAGGAAATGGCTAATTTTATGGTGATGCATCCTGCAACAGGGAAGAGGCAGCAGCGAGCCTTGGGACTCGCCCACGGTCACACAGGTATTCCTTCTGGGGGCAGGATCTCAAACGTGAGCACGGAACCACGCACCCATCCACTGCCTTTTCTCGCTCCCCTAAGAAAATCATCCCAAACTCAAACTGTACTTCATGTACAAGCTCAGCGATGCTGACGACGTTATGGGACAGACGAGGCTAACTTACCTAACAGGGAGCTGGCTAACCGGACTAGGATCATTCATATAATGAAATACTACGTATCCGCGAAAAGCGGGGTCCACAAAAGACTTTCCAGTGATGTGAGCTAACGGTGTGTTTCCTACAGGCACGTATTCATATAATCATAGAAGGAAAATACCTGAAAATGTTAACAGAGATTGCCCTCATCTTACGGTTTGGTGTGGTTTTGACTTCTTCAAGCTTTCCCGCGTTCTTCACATTTCTCTGACTTTGTATTCTACCTGCCACATGACATCTTCTAGCCTCAACTCCCAGCCTATTACAGACAAGGTGACAGAGGCTGAGGAGAGAGATGGGCCTTGCTCAGGTGAAGAAGTACAGCCCTGTCTTGTTATCCTCTATGTCACATCCTCCCAACACACATGTGAGGTCCAGCTGAGGAGGAGCTGACCAGATCTCAGACCACAGAGCCATTGGAGGCAAAGGCATAGGCCAGCGGCCAGCAGGACGCGTATGCACAGTGAAGGCCGCTCTCACAGAGGCCCACGGGCCACCATGGACCTGGACCCGCAGACACCCGGGTCTCCCAGACGTCCCACGGCACTGAGAATCCTGACATGCTGCCACGGCTGAGTCCTGATCCTGAAGACAAGTGTGACGAGACACTTACTGGTTGAGTTGCTGCGTGTCCTTTGGTGACAGGCTTTGGGAAGCAGGAAGTTACTACTTTGTGCTTCTAGCTTTCCGGGCTTTTCTCGAGAGGAAGTTGTAGAAGCTTCCTGCAAAACAATTCCCACCTTTCAGTCAGTAGATTGCTTAGAACAGGAAAAAAAAACATGCTTAGAAAAGAAAACTGCGATTTTGACACTGACCACAGAAGTACTTGTTGGACTGTCTCCTGCACTACGTTACAGCCTCCACGAGGGCAGGGAGTTAGAAGTACTGTCCTCCTTTAATTCACAGATATCTTAATTCATCTAATAAAGAAGACCGAAGGAAGAGATACCGCATAAATACTGGACTCAGGCCATAGGCAATAAATGTTGAATGACTATGTCAGCCACTGCATGTCAGGCTCTTTATTAGGAGTGGGGGACATCAAAGCTGTGAACAAGACAGACAAGGACACTGATTTTGGAGAAGTGCCATTTTAGTGATGAAAACACCAACAGTAAAACAAGCAAGCAAATGAAAGTGGAAGATAATTACAGAGAATGGAAAGCGTTACGGCGGACACGAATGGGAACGGAGGACGGTCCATTGTTCTGGCACGGAACAGGCACTTAGAAAAGCTCAGCGAATGCATGTTACATGAAGGATTTCTTTATATTGAACCATCCGTGCATTCTTGAGACTAATATGATTTTATTATATTGCTGATTTCTCTCTGTGAGGATTAAGTTAGGACGCTACCAAAAAAAAAAATCTACATTCTTAAGTTAAATTTGATGATTGTTGTTATTCTTTTTCTACCGTGCCACATTGAACAAATTTTTCTTGCTTTTTTATACTAATAAATAGGAAACACTCCCATTGCATGGAGCCTATCAACAGTATATTAAACAGCATACTTGCACCCATTTCTCTATCAGGCTCAATAAAAAAACAGTAAACATATGACTCTTCCTCAGGCGAGATGAGAATCTGAGACAACAGCAGCAAGTAGACAATAGAATAGGAAATGTTTAAGAAAGGATGCAAATGTCTCAATAGGATGTGAAAAGCACAAACTCGAAAGGACTTGGTTGCTAAATTCCACATTAACATGAAGCACTCCTACTCAGTGAAAAGAGTCAGGCGACAAATTAAAAGCTGGGGGAAGATGGGAAAAGGAAAAGACCAGCAACCCGGAAGGAAAACCAAAGTCTGGGCGTTGTCACAGAAGAGGCAATTCGCAGGTTCCATAAACAGGTGGACGTATGTGCAACCTTACTAGTAACTGGGGAGATAGCAGCTGCACTTAACGTGGAAAACAATTTCCTAGGCCCCCGACTGGAAAAAGGTTAAGATCCTGATGAGAGCAAGAATTAATGAGGATGCACAGCACACAAGGACCTTAAACCGCCGGGAACAGGACACTGCACAGCCACCTCCAAGACGCCCACGGCCTGAGTCAGCGTCCCGCAGCAGCTTTGCACGCTCCTGAGACTTATGCATCCGGCAGACACACAAGGAGGCATGAACGAGCAAGTCCCTGGCAGTACAGCCGCTAAAGGGGAAACGGGTAAATTTGCCAGTGTCTACTGCCAGGAGAAGGGACCCATACACAGTGTGTTCACACAACAGCATATCACAGAACGGTGAAGGGCAGCGACCTACAGCAACACCTAACAGCAGGAGTGACTGCAACAAGACGCTGAGTGACAGAGGAGAGTCTGCTTGAGGGATCCCCACAGAGCTGCATTTACATCCCGTTTGAAAGGAGATTGATTCCAGGTCTCAAGTTCCTCCTCCCGGCCAAAACACAACTAAATGCCGGGAAGTGACTCAAGGACAGCTACAGAAGGACACGGAGAGGCCCCGAGGACACGGCTGATGGCCAGGAACCTCAGGACTTGAATGACAGATGGTGAGTCCCCCGGCTTTCTTTTTATGGACGAGCCCCAGGAAGACACTGCAGAGGCCTGAACCCAGAGCTGCCAACAGGCAAAGACAGGATGAAACAGCAGAACAATGCTCCAGGGAGAGGACCAACAAAGACCTAGAGGGAGCCCCAGCCCCCGGCCCCGCTGGGGTTCGGGCAGGGGCCCACCGACCTGCAGTAGCAGCGGCAGCCAAGCCGCAGGCTGCCCTGCCCCCTCTGTAAGCAGGGCAGGGCAGGGCAGGTGGTGGGCCTGCTGAGCGCCTCGTGTTCCTGCCCCCACCTCGTGGCAGGACACCAAGGCCAGCAGCGTCTGCCCACCGCCACCCGGCAGCAGATGGCCACCCAGGGACACCAGGCCAGCCAGAGAAGCTCCTCCGCCCCCGCAGCGCCAGAGAACAGAGCGGACTAGGACAGCACCACAAAGGCTCTGGAAGCTCAATGCCCCGTTTCCCTTGCTCTCCTGTGTCTTTCCACCAAACCCCTTCCCACTAACCAAATGGTGTTCTGCCAGAACCAGTGAGCTTCAAAAGAGCAGCTTGCAGGCACATAGCTCCCAACGTCCCAACAACGGAAATAGCAACTAGGCTTCTCGCGAAGGTTGAGGCATCAGCCATTGTGCACTGCTCCCACGTGCCACTTGGGGACCACCCCGCCGCCCCCTCCTACACACATAGGGGTGCAGCTGGCTCCCTGGGAGGCCTGGAGCCCCGAGCTTCCTTCCCAGGGGCTGCTCTCAGCCTCCACAAGCTGTTCTCCTGTGGCAGGAAGAGGCAAGTGGCCAAAGGATTGGGTTTCCCAGTTGCCAAGGAGGCCTGGGCCTCAAAGCCGCAGGCTGAGCTGCTCCCAGGCAGCAAAAGGGAAGAACTTGTCTGCTCCTGGGCCTCGACCACCCTGTCTCCACCCACAGTACAGACGCTCGGTCTGACCTCATCACATCCTGAGTCACGCTACATGACTGGTGACTTTGCCTAACCAATATTTTGAATTTGTGAAAAAAAAAAAAAGCAGGATTTTCCACACCACTCAGGCCATTCCCATGGGGATCAAAGCGTTTTGCATCCTTTCAGGAGGGCAGCCCACGCGTCTGGTCTCATCTGCTGCCACCCTATTCCCAGTGTCCAGTGACTCCAGCCCCCAGCTCATGGGAAGGCCCAAAGCCACGTCCAGTGCAAATCCAAGTAGGAGGCAGGGGACCTCAGAGAGACACAGGCAGGAAGGAGGGGACCTCAGTGAGAGACACAGGCAGGAAGGAAGGTGGGTGAGGAAGGTAAACATGGGATGTAATGTATGTGGACACTGATGCTACAGGACAGTGATCACAGTCTGCTTCAGTTTTAAATACAAGGAGAACCGTGAGGCAGGACAGTATCAAAAAGCGGGCAAGCGTAAATCGAGTTGTGTGTTCCAGGTCTTAGCACTGTCTCAGAACTGACAGAAGAACTCCTTTCTGTGAGACTTGACTACACCAGGAACACATATTGCACATTTTTTAATGATGAAAAGAAGTAAAAATGTATGATTAGGAAGCTTACTAAAGATTAGATGGAGGGCCAGCCGAGTGGCTCAGTTGGTTAAGAGCTGGCTTGGGACGCCCGGTTCGGATTCCACATATGCGGGCCAGTGACACTGCCCTCTACAGCTAAGATGCTGAACAACTCAACCTGGAGCTCGGTTGCTGTGAGTCGCTGGCGACGGCATGGGCTGCAGCCCCTGTGGCAGTGGGTTGCCATGGGCTACCGTGTGTAGCCAGCAGCCAGCGTGAACGGCCCTCAAGCCGCTGTGAGCGGCCGTCCAGAAGCCAGCGACTGATCTGCCTCACCCGGGAAGAGCGCAATGATGGTGCCAACTTGGGCCA